TATAAATAAGTAGATGTTAATACGTTATATGTGAGTTTGTAAAATGTAAATGTTGAATGTGAGTCTAAATGCTTTGCAAGGCAAAAAATGTTATATGTGAGTTTAAAAAAGTATAAATGTTAAGTGTGAGTCTATGCTTAATGTATATGATGAAAAAACCTGAGATACAGTAGTATCCTATGAGACTGCAAAGCAGGCAGTCTGAGCGGTTTTCAAAAGTCCCAGAAGCCGCTAAGAAGCTAAGAATGGCAGATTCCAGAACCAGCACAACAAGGCATCCGCAGCTGAGATCCGTGGAAAATCAACGCAACACAGAAAAACCTGAGCTAACAGCAAAAATGGTGCAGTTTAAAATATTACTATAACTAAAAAGGTCTCTGGCTTGAGAATAAAAGTTGCAGAGATGGTTGTTTGAATGAAAATTGCAAAAAGTTTTGGTTGTAGAACGTCTCTTCATATTTTGAAGTGAAAGCCTGATACCAGAATTTATTTCTTGTTTGAACTGTTTGAATTTAAAATGAGATAAAACTACAAAAAGATTTTGGTTATGGATTTCTTCATACTTGGAAGGCTAGTACCAGAATTTATCATTTTAATTTTGGAACTTAAGAAATGAAATGAACAATAGAGATTTCATTGTAATGGGACAATTTTGAGTTTACTTATAGTAATGACCTGGGAACTGTTTTCTGGAATTGGGTTAAAAATGGAACTATTTAAATGAAGAAATTTATTGTTTCTACCTAGAATCAAGATGCAGTTTTGTGTATGAGTATATGCTGGTGATTCATGTACTGTTCTGTGTTAAAAATGCAATTGCTTTGTGGAACTGTTTATGTAAAAATGGAATTACATACAGAACTGGTTTTGTGTTACAAATGGAACTGTTTAAATGGAAAAGTTTGGGTTTTTCTAATTAGGTTTGAGATTTTGTTTAAAAATTATAAAGAAAAGGAGGAGTTATGAGTAAATTAAGGTTGAATGTATGTTCGCAGAAACCTATTGATATTAATGCACCCTGGTTTTGTGGAGTTAAGGAAATATTTAAGTTTGAAGTGAATACATCGAAGTTTTTCCTATGTTCTGTTAGCAAGAAAATTCAAATTGAATTAAAGTTGTAAGATGGAGAAAATTGTTAACTATATATAGCATCATATATGCTAATTCAAATGGTTCTGTTAAGAGTTTGCTTTGTGTTATAAGATTGAGAGAATTGTGATTATGTATAGCAATATTTATGTTAACCTGTTAATGGTAATGATGAAGCTAAGGGATTCTTTAAGTTTGTAGTTGCCTTAAGAGTTTTTGGTTTAGAAAGGGCTTGAGGCAGCTAAGACTGCTGTAGTCACCTTGGACCTAATTCAAAAGAGAAATGCCATCTTTACCATCCTCTACTCCCATATTGGGAGGTGTAACAGCTATGGAGATTGCTGTAAGCCATTAATAATGAGTTATTTTTTATATATTAAGAAAGGGGGACCTGTGGGAGCCCGTTCTCGGGTTCCTCGTGGCTTTACCCAGCAGGTCTGCATAGAGGATGATTAGGACCACGGGCCTGAGTGCAGGTGTCTGGAATGGTCTGCACTTGGCTGTGCTGGAGGGAGGAGGTCTTTTGCTCCACCCCCTTGGCGTCTCTTTAAATACCCTGGGGCAGAGACAGTCAGGGCCCGTTGGAATAGGTTCCAGGCCCTCTCGAGGCTATCCTTTATTTTCTATCTGTTTATCTCTGCAAGATTCTCCGCAATAAATCCTTCTATCTAATATTTCCTACTGCTCGCACTCAAGAAAACTCTGGGGAACTGTGGGGGTGGTGGGTAAACGCCCCACAAGTTACTAAAAATATAATGGGTTTCATTGTGACTTACTGTCCTTTTCCTCTCTCTCTCTCTCTCTCTCTCTCTCTCTCTCTCTCTCTCTCTCCCCCTCTCATTCCTCCTTGGCTTGCTTTGAATACATGATGTACCCATAGATTGAATTGAGCTCCTGATTCTCCCGCCTTCACTTTCCTTGTGCTTGGGGCACAGGCATGTGCTACCACACTTGATTTATGTAGTTCAGGGGCTCAAAGTTAGGTAAGCATTTTACATTCCTATACCATCAATATAAAATTTTCATTAATATACATCATTTTACTCTATCATATTCGATTCCATCTATTTTTCTCACTGCCCTGTGGTTCTCTTCCTCTCCCTAAATAGTTTGAAAAAATAAAATAACTACCACTAGACACAGATAACCTCTGTGCATATACCAAAAAGACTCTCTGCACTACAAGAGAGACACCTACTCAGTGGGTCATTGCCACTCTCTTCAGAATAGTTATCAAATAGAAGTAAGTTTAATTTGGGATGGGGCCAGCACGATAAGATCAGAAGGAGTTGAAAGGTTAGTCAAAATGAGGGAATTATGAAAAAGGAAAATCAAGACAACCTCTTTGTAAGTTAATGAAAATCACAATTATATAATTTTACTTCTAATACTAGAAGTCATAGGTGACTAAACAAAATACTAGTCTTGGGAGTAAGATACCTTTCTAGCAGTGTTGGTAACAGAGGCTCCAAATAGTCCACCAAATACAGTTGATTGCCCAGCTCTTAACTGCCCACCAGATTTACATGGAAAAATATTATTCCTCAAGTCATCTCATGCTGTTACTGAAGGATATAAAGAAATCCACCTGGAATGGATACATCATAGCAGAGATCTCATGGGTGGACTGGAGATGAGTGGAGATGGGAACATGAGGGATCAGGTTGGGGGTGGATGGAGTGGGAGAGTACTGAAACAGATGACTGGGGGCATTTCAGGTTCAGGCAGAAACCTGATACAAGGGAAACTCCGAGGAATCTACAAGAATGACTCCAGCTAAGAATCCTAGCAATTTTGGACTCGAAGCCTGAACTGGTCATCTGCGGTGACCAGGCTGGACTTCCAGTGGAGGGATTGGGACATCAGCCCAGCCACACATCCTCTGACATACAGCTTGTACTGCCCATGGGATGAGTGTGTGGGAGGGGGCAAGAGTGGCTTGGAGATTGTGGGAGTTGCCAAACAAGAGAGAGAATAAAGAATGGAATCTCTCACTGCTCTGTTGTTTTTTATAAGGCATAAGGTGGTGTGCAGGTTTATAAGGAATAAAATCTTAAACAGTCTTATCCAGCTAATGACTCCGAGAGCTGTAATACTGACCTACCAAGCAAGATGTACCCATTGATGCCATAGTGGCATGCCTCTGTGTGGGTTAGCCAGCCATTTCCTCATTGGATTTAAGACCTGCTTGGCTCTACAGTAGGGAATTCATGATTCATGCTTGTCACAGTAAACCTGCCTATGAACTTATGTTTGGGGAACATACAGCAAGTAGCAGATTGATGGAATGTGCAGGTAGATACAAAAATAGTGTCTTTAAGAGAACACACAAATTAACATCATTAAATTAGGTGCTTATAGCATCCAGCAGAATGGACTATGGAAGCCCTCCTGAAAGCATCACTGGAGTTCTCAAGTGAGAGTTTTTCAAGTTAAGCAGAGCCTCTGCTCCATGGATGAGCTCCCATCTTCTGGTTCCCACCACCCCAGGCACTTATATACCATGAGAATAACAGTAGCCCAGTGGGAAGGGTTCACCTTCTAGCAGTTCTTGGAAATAACACAATGTTTTCAATATCCTTGGCTGTTTGCTCTTTTCCTTTTTCTTCTACTTCAAAATAAGGAGGTCAGCCTGTCCCAGGACATGGAGTTTTCAAGAACATTTGAGATATTTTATTTTGAAACCAGGAAAGATATCCAGACTTTCAGAGACTCCTTTCAATAGGATGACTAACACATGACTGTCTATCAATAAAATGCATATATTAAAGGTTTCAGCAGGAGGTAGTGGGGTACAAAAGAAAATAGTGGAGGGTGAAAATGATCAACATTCACCATCTATTTAAAAGTGAATTATGAGCTGGGCAATGGTGGCACACACCTTTAATCCCAGCACTCAGGAGGCAGAGCCAGGCGGATCTCTGTGAGTTCGCGGCCAGCCTGGGCTACCAAGTGAGTTCCAGGACAGGCACCAAAACTACACAGAGAAACCCTGTCTCGAAAAACCAAAAAAATAAAATGAATTATGCATCTGAAAACATTTACATATTTTGAAACACTAGGAAAGCCCAGTGCATTTCATTGTTCTGTATTGGTGATAAGTTGTTGAATTCTGTGTGCACTTCCTTTGGAAATCCATGTTGAAAGGGAGATATGCCACCTGATGAAAATGAGAAGATAGATATTCCTCAAATTAGTCCCATTGTTTTCCCACAGTTTAATATGAAAACTGCTGTTACAAACATTTTTTAAAAAAAGTATTTGAATTCAAACATTTGTTTCTCTTTAAAGTATATACAGTAAGATTTTCATTCAATAGCGAATGAGAAAAAATGGTTTACATGTTGTTTCAAATGTCCAGGCCAAAAAGTACTTGGAGCACTTTTTAAATTGCTATTTTTATTACAAAGAGGAAAGATGACACTTTTAAAGAAAAGCATCGATCATCAATGTCAAACATTAAGGACTTGGATGAATGCAATTCTTTTTTGTAACAAAAAATATTTATAACGCCTAAAATTGGGCAAGTGTTTAAATAAAACTCTTCAAATTAAAAATAAAAAAAAATATGCTTGATTCTACTCACCATGGCCTCTGCCTCTCCTACCCATTCATGGCTCCTAATTGACACTGCCCTACTTAGAACTGGGCTCCTATAGGATAACAAGCAGGGCCTGGGAACATGGTGCACCAAGCCTGGCCCTAACCCTCTTGCTGGACCTGGCTCTGCCCACTCCCACCTTTTCTAGCACACTACTCCTGAGAGTGGTATCCCCATCCTCCACTCTAGTCCATCACTTGGGCCTAGGCCCCGCCCACACTCTTTTCCTAGTCAATTCTAAGCCCTCACCACGCCATTGTTGTCATTCAAGTCCTCACTAGCCCGCCCACCTTTCTCCAGAAACTGTTACCTCCATGCTGCGGTTCTGGATTATCTGTGCATCACTCGCACACAGTGACCCCACGCACTTTAAATTTTGATCTCAGCCCCTCTTTTCCTGCAGCACCGCCCCTTTGTCACCGTCAATCACTCGCTCTCTGGCCCCGCCTACTTTCCCAGAGCTGACCGCGAGAGCACAGTCGCGCACTTCCGCCGCGACCCGGAAGCGGATCTGCGCAGCGCCAGTCGTGTAGTCCGGTGAGTTTCCCCAGGTCCTTTAGACCGGTTTCCTTGCTGGGAGCTGTCGCCGAGAACCGCGACCCTTGCCCGGGAACCTTATTTTGCTCGCCCAGCTCCACCGGGTGACGCGGAGAGCCGCGAGACTGAGGAAGTAGGAACGTGGGAGAGAGATGGCCCCAGAGCGAGGCGAGGGCTGCCCGGAGGGGAAGCAGCCGGGAAGGAGCAGGGACGCGGATTCGGACGCTTCTGCGGTGGGGGAGGAGACGCGACTGGCGTTTGTGCGGGACGAGCCAGGTGATGAAGGACTAGAGAGGCTGCAGGAGACAGAGCAGCGGCGTGCGGCGGGATAACGGGCCCGTCCGAGGGAAGAAAGAAAGCAGGAGAGGCGGGCAGCGGGAGAGCAGAGGCGAGCTGAGCTGCCAGAATGTGGAGGGCGGCGAGAGAGAAAGAAGAGCTGGAGGTGGAAAGTGTGAATGAAATCGTGCAGAATGAGGGAGGAGAAGGCTGGATGAGGGAGGAGTTGGTGGAATAATACGGTCATTTTTATTGAGTTTGCTTTTGTCGTTGGAAAAAAAAAAAACACTTCTGTTTAAATTTTAGTGGTGAGGACGAGCATTGCAAAATGTCTATCTGCCGGGCATGTGCCGTTTAAAGTTAACTGGGGTTGTGCTGGTCATGGTGGCACACACCAGTAATGCCAGCATGTGGAAGCAAAACTGGGGTGGGAAGATGGACAGTTTGAGGCAGTCTGGAAAAGATAACATGGACACTTTCTAAGTGAATAAATAATGTTGAGGTTAGAGGGTGATAGCCCTTTGTAGACCTTATTCAGCCAGAACACAGCGATGGGACTCCTTTCGACAAGGTCACCCTTCTATTGCCAGGGATATGGTGGGACTGGATATAGAGAGGACTGGTGGGATTTTTCTTTTTTCTAACATTTAACATTTAGTATGGAATGAATTGCCTCTGGCCATCTTCAGGCAGCTCTCTTTCAGACACCAACTTAATATTGCATGATTTAATTCATGTCTGGATCACTACCTGAAGATGATATCAAATGCCACAATCCCACACCACTGTCCCCTTTTAATTCCAAGTCTCATGTCCTGAATAGAACCTACCATCAGCTGGTGCTCAAGTGCTCTTAATTTGCTTGCTCAGCTCTAGGTTGTCAGGGAAACACTTCGGTTAGGTTTACCCATTATAAGGAACAGCACAAAGGAAACAGGTGAATATTCCAGATGAACCTCTTGTAAGTGTCGGTATCTCAAGTAGGACAGCTGTGCTCTTGCAAGTCTTAGCTGAATCTCTCTGCCTATATTTACTTTATCCTGTCTGTATTTTATATGTTTGTGTGTATACATGTGTGCATTCTGGGGTGTGTGCAGAGGCAGCCTTGTATTCCTGGTCTTTCTGAGGAGGGATCAAGTCCTGCAGAAAAGTGTCTAGTCTCCTGTTGTCTGTCCTGCAGTAGTTTATTGTTCTTACATCCCCTTGATGTATTGGGCTACAAAGGTCCATCTTTCTACATGATGATGTCCTCTCAGTAGCTCTGACTATGGCATAGGAAATGAATGTCTCGCTGAGCTGCTTCGAATGTACCTGTAATCTCAGCACTCAGGAGATTGAGGCAGGAGGATCATGAGTTCAAGTCCCGCCTGAGTTATATATTAGTCTTCATCTCCAGAAGGGAAGGGAGGTGGCTATATTTATCCAGAACATTTTTTTTTAACCATTTTGATACAAGATTCTACCAGTTTCATATGGCCTGAAAATCACTAGCTTGTTCAGGACTTTGAATTCACAATCCTCTGCTTTTAGTGCTAGGATTATATGTGTATGCCACCAGGCCCATACTTTTATTATTATCATGATGATTATTATTATTATTTAAAGAATAAGGGGTTTTATTTTCAAATCACCTTGCAAACATATGATATACTTAATTGTATGCTTTTGGTATTCAGGACTGACCTCTAAATACTCATGTTACTCAAGGAAGAAGTTGGGAGAAGGAGAATGAAGAACCAGAAAGAACCAGGGATGGCTGCCATGCAGGTACAGTGAGCCACCTCCTTACCCCCCCGCCCCCAGTTGATTTTCTGTTCCCTGGAGTGTTCTGCGTGAAAGCTGCTGGCCTGCACTGAGTATAGACTAGACAGTTCACTTGCCCTTGCTCATGTTTTCCCTTAGCCTCTATCATAATCACTAGATTACATCTCATAATGATCCTGTGATTTAGAACATGGAAGAAGCTTCTATTGAGTATGCACTAGGAACAGTCTTTGTGCTAAGGATTGCCTAGTAAGGATTGCCTTAGTATCATTTGTAAATGGACTGTTAGCTCTCTAGATGTAGGTAAAAGAAGCTACACTTGGAAGTCACATGTTAATGTGCACACACAAATACTTCTTAAATTATGGGAGAAAGGAGACCTTCTTGTGAAATTACATTCTTCATAGCCCACTACACTGCAGGTAATAATGTCAGTGGTCATTGTTTCCAAGAGAGCATCTCAATAACTAAAAATGGAATAAGGGGGGGAGAGTGTTGCATTTCACCACCAAGATATTAGGGTTTACCCCCCTCTTGTTTTCAGAGAGAGTATCTTCCTGTGTAGTTCAGTCTGGCTTCCTGAGTGCAAGAATACAGTGCATGCCTGTTTATTATCATTTCTCTGTATGTGGAGTATGTACATGTTCATGTGAGTGCATATATAGTGCATATATATATATATATATATATAGTCGTGTTTGGAGGCCAGAGGTCAAATCAGTTATCTTCCTGAGTGTGCATTTCATGAGACTGTGATGAGGCAATATAGTCTTGTTGTTGTCCACTCTTACGCTTACCTGGTTTTGTGTTTTAACCACATCATGTGTTATTCTGTCCTCTCCACCACCTTGTTTTCCTCTCACTGTGTAGTGATGATTGCACACCTGGCTAGTCACCTCTCTACTTTCTACCCTCTGGAGAAAATGATGGTCATGATAATTGGGATGTTTGGGTTTGTTTAATACCATGTTTTGTTTTTCTACATATTTTTAGTGCTGAGGAGTGAACACAGGACCTTGTGCATTCTAGGCATGTACTCTACCATTAAGCTGTACTTTCAGCTTTTTTGATTATAAAATGACTTTTATTGCACTGGAGAGAGAGAAATGACTCAGCAGGTAAAAGCACTGGCTGCTCCTCCAGAGGACCTGTGTTGCATTCCTAGCACCTACATGGTAGATCATCATCATCTGTAACTCCAGTTTCAGGGGATCTAGCTCTCTTCTCTGACCACCTTATGTACCAGGTTTATGTCTTAACCAAACATCCATCCTAACAAACATTTAAACATATAAAATAATAAGTATATTATAGCTCACTCCAGCCCTGAACTCAATGTATGGTCCATTCTGGCCTTGAATTCATAAAGATCCTCCTACCTCAGCCTTCAAAGTGCTGGGATTGCAAGCCTGTGGCACTAAGCTGACTGTTGGAAACCTCATGGCATCATCTCTGAAAACACTGGGTGTATCAAACATCTTACTTACTACTTGACTTGAGATGAGCCTGTGGGTTTTTCCTTTTTTTTCCCTTTTATCAAATGAGAACCAAGTGGCGGTTAGAGGGGTTGGGCAAAAGATGGTGAAAAAAGGCTTGGGAGGACAGAGTGAATGTATCAGAGTGTGACATGAACGAGAAGGGCAGACTTTGTATTTGATTTTGCTTGTTTGTTTGTTTGTTTTGTATTGTCCACATACATGATGAATGCACTGTGACATGATACCATAATATCTTACAATAAAGCGAAATAACATTAGGGAGTTATAGTGTTGTTCTGATGTATCTTAATCTGGGAACACAGGAGAAACCAGGTCAGTTTCTCCTGGTACATTTTTTAAACAGAAGGTTTAGGCTAGTCCACGTGTGTGGTGTTTTTCTCACATACTAAGCAAGTAATTCTGTAGCATACTACAGCCCAGTGTCAGCTAATTCGGTTGCATTCTGACACTAATCAGCTAGAGGACTCAGTTCCACAGAATGTACGCAACAAGGGTCTATACAGCTCCTTCTCCAGTTTTATGGTCCATTTTCTAGGGCAGCTCACAAAACTAAGGGAAACTCTTTATGTTTTCCTATTTATTATAAAGGACATTCCAAAGACTAGATGACCAATTGGACAGAGAAGACACAAAAGGGGAGGTGCAGGAAGTGGCTTATGGCTTTCATTCCCTCTTTGGGCAAGCCACTCTTTAGTTCTTTCCCCACAGTAGAATGTAGGGAAAGAAATTTAAACTCTATGCTTTAAGGGTTTATGGAGATTCCATCACTCACATATTACTCAATACCATTGATCATTGGTGTTCACTTAAGCCTTCAACTCTTCTCCTTTCCTTGGAGGATGGGGAGTAAGGCCTGAAGTTTGGTCCTGTTCCTGCCTTGGTTGTCTTGGTGCCCAGCAACCTTCCTGTAACTGAGGACCTCATTTCACCTTTCAACATCACCATAGGAGACAAACCCATCCTTATCACTCCAGAGATGCCAGGTGAATTGTATGTCTGAGAACTAGACAAAGACATGTAGTTTATGATCTCACAGCATGGAGGTGACTTGTTCTCTTCAATTTACTCAGTCTGTTTTCCCCTTTTTCTCACCTCTTTGTAAGGATTCTAAATGTCCACAGTGTGAAATGTGTTTGTTTCCTTTTAGGGACAGTTGACATTCAGGGATGTGGCCATCGAGTTCTCTCAGGAAGAGTGGGAATGTCTGGACCCTGCACAGAGGGCTTTGCACAGGGATGTTATGTTGGAGAACTACAGCAACCTGGTCTCCCTGGGTAAGGATGACCTACTCCAACAGTTGGGATCTTTGCCATGTGACCTTGCAGTTTTCATACCGTGCCTTTGGGTAACCATGTTGCCTCTCTGCCTTTCTTCCTTTCTTCCTTCCTCTTTTCCCTTTTCTCTCTCTTTGTGTCTCTCTGTCTCTCTGTGTCTCTCTGTCTCTCTCTCTCTTTCTCTCTCTCTGCACTAGGAATAGAACTCAAGATTTTTGCATCTCATGTACTCTACCATTGGACTGTGTTCCCGGCCCGTATGGTAGATTTTGTTTTGATTTGGTAGATTTGGGTTTTATAGTCTAGTAGCCTTGAACTTGCAGTCCTCTTGCTTCACACTCCTTAATGCAGGAATTACTGGCATATAATCACTGTGCATGACTCATGGCATCAAGGCACATATTTAAAGTTTCCAATGTTGGGTGTTCTATGTTACCTGGGCTGTTCAAAGAAGGAGAATCACTCCAAGATGTAATTTTAGATGGCCTGACATCAGGGCAGAACAGTTTCTGTGAACTGAACATTGAACCTCTGTTCAGAAGCCTATTTATTGACAGTACACAAAGTTTGTGTTTGAGGTACAAGTTCCTCATACCAAAGCCCTATCATCACACCCCCAAAACCTTTAATCCTTATTGTGTACTGTTTGTAGTACCTAATAATTCAAGACCTCCAAGTGTTCCTGGATATTCTTATGACTAAAATCATGCAATGGATAGAAAACCTCTTTAGAAAAACAACTCTGTAAGTCATAGAAAACAGTCACTGTTCTCTACTGTGATTTCTTCAAGGTCTAGGTCCCTTCAACAAATGCTAATACATTCTACTGTTGCCCTAAATATAGTGGGAAAAAACTATTACCTTCTATGTTTACCTTAGATACAAAAGACTCTACTAGAGTCCCACTGCATCTAATTCTTTGCTTTCTTCCCCTAAGCTTTTGCTTCAGTAGTTCTTAGTAGATAACTAGGCCCATTAAATTCCTGGAAAGAGTTTGTGAAGTATTTTTCTAGATTCATATGAAACATGCTCTTTCCTCACATTAGCATAGGATATAGATTCTGTAATATCCTCAGTACATGGTGTTACTGTCTTTTATAAACAGGAGTCACACGTCCTAATCTGAATGTTATGTCTATGTTGGAACAACAAAAAGGGCCCTGGACTGTGGAGAGTGAGGCAATAATGACCAGAAAACCAAATGGACAGGAATACGTCAGAGCTATGAGTGCAGGTAAGCTCTCAGAGGGCAGAGTGGAGGCTGCACCACTGCGTAATGGCAAGTACAAGGTTTCTATGGGAAACAAAATCTGTCACTATTCTTTACAGGTACAAAAATTTAGCCTTTAACTATCTCTCTTTAACATAACTCTCTAATGGTGTCCAGGTAGTCTTTTGTTTGTTTTTAATCTTGTTTCTTGTTCATATGTTTGAGGTCATGTCTCACTCTTTAGTTCAGGCTAATCTGAAACTCATTGTGTAGCCCAGGCTGGCCATAAACTCTTGGTAAGCATCCTGCCTCAGCCTTCCAAGTTCTGGGATTAGATGTATGAGCTACCATTGATGGTCAGTTAATTAAGTTTTGACAGAAGTGCTATAATTCAGATACATTTTGTGTTTGTACCAAAAGGTCATGGTTAAATGGTTGACTCCCTGTGGCAATGTGAATTGTTTCAGAACATTCTGTGTGGGACGAGGATGGGTGGCAGTATTTATCTCTGCAGACCAGGCTGGCATGGAACTTTCATTTTTCTTGTGTCAGCCTGACAAGTGATGAGATTACATGTTTGCCTCCATGCTTGCCTGACATAGAGCTTTGAAGAAGTGAATATAGTTGGAAATAGGTGACTGGATGTGCTACCCTTAGAGGAATTAATGCTGAACATAATACTGTATTAGTAAAACAGAATTGTTACGAAATAATTAGTCTAAGCTGGGCCTGTTGGTGCATGCCTTTAATCCTAACACTTGAGAGGCAGAGGTAGGTGGGTCTTTATGAGTTTGAGACCAGCCTGATGTACATAACTGAATTCTAGGCCAGTCAGGGTTTTATAGTGAGACTCTGTCTCAATGAAAATAAAAATTAAAAAATGAAACAATTAGGCTAGCAAAGAAAGCAACACATAATAGTTCTCTGCTTAGTTCATTTTGTCCAGTAAAACATTTTTTCTCTAGACTGATAGGTGTTGCAATTAGAACTTCCTTTTTTCTGAGGGACAAATAAAACTCATAGAATACACACACACAAACACACACACACAGAGTCAACTGGTGATGTATATATAGGTTAATTAAATAATTTTGCTACTAAGAAAAATACAGAGAATAGTACAGGCATCCCATAGACATGTAATCTTCAGTAATCTAGATCTGCACTCAAAAGCTGAGTTCCTGTATGATACAGTAGCAGCATCTGTTTTGTTTCCTCTGACTCATTGTGTTCCCTCTTCCATACTTATTGTCACCATTATGAAATCTCCCATCACTGACTGAGAAGAACTAAGTGAACAGGCTTTTATTACTTAGCATCAGGTATTTCCCTCTGAGTGTGGAGAAGGAGTTTGCATACCATATATCCAACAGTGAATTAATAGCCAAAATGTGAAACCTGAAACAAACAAGCAGGAAAACAGCCAACTTAAAAATGGGGATGGACGTGTGTGTGTGTGTGTGTGTGTGTGTGTGTGTGTGTGTGTGATGGGCAAGATGTGCTGCTTATGCTCAGGGGCTAGCTGAGCTCGGACTCTACCAGGCTCACATCCCATTAGAGATGTGGTTATTCTTTTCATTCTACTTTTTATTCTTCTTTTTTTTTTGAGACAAGCATTGCACAGGCCAGTCAGACTCCTCAGTAGATGATTAGAGGTGCATATTGCCATGCCCAACTTTAATACACATTTACTGAAGAGAAATGATATATGAAAGGAAGATCAACATTACTATTATGTAAAAACGCCAGTTTTCTCCAATGTGAGTTATCACCTTCACTTACCAAGATAGCTGTTGTGGAAAAGGTGAGCCTTGCTCTGGATGTGGTGGAAAGGGAAATCCTGTTCTCTCTTGGTGGAAGTCTAGATTGGTACTCATTGATGAGAATTGATTGCAGATAAATCAGAACAAATAAAAGGAGAGTTACTGTATAATCAAGCAACTCAGCTTTTGATTATACATCCTGAAGACTAAAGATGACATGTATGTGTGATGGCTATATTGTTCTTGTGACATTATTCTTAGTGGCTAAGTTATGTAGTAGACCATGTGTCCATCACCAGTAGCATCTGTTTGTGTGTGTGTGCACATTTTATATGAATTGTGTTTGTCCTTCAAAAGAAGAACCTTCTGTTTGTTACAATGTCTGTCAGCCTGGAGGATATCTTACCAGACAAACTAAACAGGTAATTGTCACATGTGGTTTTCTTTGACACAGTACCTCTCAGTTCTGTCCACTTTGCTTTGAATGACAGGAATTCGTTCTTTTGGGATTATATTCTTCATTGTGTATATCTATGTATTTTCTTTTTCCATTCATCTGTTGACATGTAGGCTAATGCCATGTCTATATCTCTCAACCCATATATATATGAGTTTTCACTCACATTTAGAATTCACCTCAATTCAACTCGAAGCACAGAGCGTAAAGATAGTTACCAGTGGGTCAAAGATATTAGTGAGTTACTTGTCAGTGAGACCAGGCCAACGTTTTAATAAGAGCAGGACAGTGAGTACAAATTTTGAAGTGATGGGTGTGATCATATGTTTCAGCTTCATTGTCACTTCGTTATGTACACACATACATACATACATACACATCAAAATATGTTTCAGTCTTGTTATCATTTTGTTATAGACATATATAATATGTACATATATACTATATATATGTATATATAAAGTAAAATTACTTTATACACTAATCATTAATGTAGTCGGTCTTTCCTTGGACTGTCTGTTCGTAATTAATAACACAGATACTTATTTTAATTATGAAAGCTTGGCCATAGCTTAGGCTTTTTCCCACCTAAGCTCTTAAAATTTGTATTGACCTGTTTCTAATAATCTACATTCTGTCACATGACTCAGTTACCTCTGCTTTGTACCATATGTCTGACATTTTCAGAGTCTTGCTGGTGTCGCCCTTCCCCCACATCTTTCCACGGTTCTCTCTCTCTCCTGTGAAGTCTCAATTCTCTCCTCCCTGGCTATTGGCCATCAGCTTCTTATTAAACCAACCACAGTGACACATCTTCACACAGTGTAAACAGATATTCCACAACAGTTCTTTGTTTTTGTCTAAGTAAACAAGAAAGAGTTTAACTCTTAACACAGTAAAACTGTGTGTGTGTGTGTGTGTGTGTGTGTGTGTGTGTGTGTGTGTGTGTGTGTAATAAGAACAATCATCAGATAAGAATTAACATTTTTGCCAGGTGTGGTGGCACATGCTTTTAATCTCAGCACTCAGGAGGTATAGGCAGGTGGATCTCTGTGATTCAAGGCCAGTCTGGTCTACAAAGTATCAGGACAGCTGGGACTGTTACACAGAGAAACCCTGTCTCAAAAAAACAACAACAACAACAAAAAAGAATTAACATTTTCAGTGTCCAGTCCATATGTATCTGGCAAGTTTGGAGAATGTACTATATTACCTATCCTATCTTAGCGAGTCCAAAGTGTTATACATAAACCATTTTCTATCATAGCGTGTTTTACCATCCTAAATATATCTTTTTAGACCTTAAAACATCTTCATAGATAAACAACTTAAGTTTTTATATTTGTTAATGTTATAAACTTAACTTTTCTTATGCAGATTTTTTTCTGAATTTGATAACAAGGAAAACTATATAACTGTAACTATCTGTTCTTCAACTCCATCAGAGACCCAAGAAGGATATAATGTTACCCGAGTAAATAGGAAATGTAGAGCAAATAACTTCCCAAACTAAAAATGACAGAAAACTGACTGCCTAGACAGTTACCCAAGGGTACTCTGCAACATTGGGGCACCCATCCTTGGCCCAAAGGGCTAGAATATGACAGACTTCTCTCTGAAGCAGGAATTTTTGAAAGACTTACCTATTTTTGTTTGGCAAAGTTCATCAGTCACCACCTTTTGTATTCTGTTTGGCCATTTTGGATGGTATACTGTCAGCAGTCCAGGCTCTGGCAGTTTTTTGTCCATTAGCTAACTTTGCCACAATGAAAGCAAACTCCATATGGAGGTTCTTTGGTGCACATCATCCTTTTTTGAAGTAAATTGGTGCTTCCAGGAGCAGATGTGTCTCATTGTCATGAATAGCCTTATGTTATTAAAACGTCTAAAAGTGCTGTATTCTGTAGGTCTCTGAAGTGTTTGAAGACCACCTGTCTATCTAAACTATATCTGTTTAACCTTGAAAACATACGTAACATGACTACAAGTTTGTTATAGATGATGAACTACTAGCTTACATTTTCTTCTTTTTATTAAATTATTTACATCCTGATCACATTTTTACTTCCTTCTCCTTCTGTTCCCTCCCTCTATCCTCCTTCTGCCCCTCATCCACTCCTCCTGTTTATGTTCAGAAAGGGTCAGGCCTCCCATGGGTGTCAATAAAGCATGGCATATCAAGTTAAGGTAGGACTAAGCTCCTCCCTTTGTATTGAGGCTGGGTGAGGGAACCCAGTATAGGGAATAGGTTCCCAAAAGCTAGATCAAGCATTAAAGACAGGCCCTGATCCCACTGCTAGGAATCCCACAAAATAGATGAAGCTACACAACTATTACACATGTAGGGGGCCTATGAAAGGGTTATAATGGTGGTACTCCTGGCTGGCTGCCGCCTCCATTGACCACAGTGACAGAAGAGAGCTCTGGATGCTGCAGTGGCAGAGGAATCACGAGCCATGGTTACCTCTTTAGAGTTTTATTGGGAGAAAGGAGGGGGGGGGGGAAGACGGAGAGAGACAAGAGACAGAGACAGCACAGAGGGGAAGTACAGAGGGAATAAGAGGAGAGAGAGAGAGAGAGAGAGAGTCCTGTGGAAGGGCACGCCCTCTTTTTAGGCTGGGACTCCATCTCAGCCTGGTGACATAATAAAGACATAATTCTTACAGCCTACATTGGTTCTATGCAGGCTCCCAAGCTATCCAGGGTCTGTGAGTGCCTGTGAGTCTAGCTCAGTTGTTTCTATGGGTTCCCTTATGATGAATTTGACTTCCCTGGCTTGTACAATCCTTCCTTCCTCTCTCAGGATTCCCAGTGTGCGGCTCAGTGCGCGGCTGTGGATCTTTGCATCCATTTCCATCAGTTACTGGATTAAGACTCTCTGATGACAATTAGGGGTCAACAGTCTAGTCACAGAAGATGGCCAGTTCAGGCAGCCTCTCCACTATTGCTAGGAGTCTTAGCTGGGGTTATCTTTGTGGATTCCTCAGAGTTTCCCACGTAGAATATACATTAACTGTCTTGTAGTTTTTCCTTTTTTCTTTCTTTTTTTTTTTCATTTATGTAGCCAAGATTTTTCAGGAGGTTTCCCCCAAACAAATATGATCTTCATTAATTTTGAAGAGATTCAAAGCTTTTTGTTTCATGTGGAAATGAAAGCATAACCTCTCCACGAATGCAGCATATTTTCTGACTTCCATTCTGAAGTTAACACATTCTTAAAATATATAGGCTGGTTTAATATTGCAGTTGTTGTTTTGTTTGTTTTTAACAATCCAGTGTCTCTCCAGCATTTGCCTTTTGCGCATCAGCATTCAAAAAAATTTGAAGTTAGCAAAGCATCATGGAGATTCCAAGTGCCCTGTGTATTTCCCATCCTTATGTTACTTTTTTTAATTATTATTACTTTACTCTTTCTTTAAAGACTTTATTATTTTTAAACGATTTACTGATTGATTGATTTTGTTAGGACTTTCTGTGCCCCCCTCCTTTTTTTTTTTTTCTTTCTTTAGCACCTAAGCACATTTCAAGCACAGTGTAACCTGTTCAGAGGTTTTCTTGGCCAGGATCTGACTTTCTGCATGTCTGCACAGGCTTCTTTGACTGCATGAGCCAAACCTTAACCTGCTAGGCTCTCTGCCACGCAGCTAGCTCAGCACATGGCCTGGTGGCTGGCTCTTCCTCCTTTGGCCTAACCATCCCAGACACTCTTCATCATCCCATCTCTGGAAAGTTGCTGAGACCAAGATGGATCAGGTGTTTTTACCTAGCGAGATGACTGCCCAAGTGCTCTGCTGTACAGTGGGCCCTTTTAAAGGAGCCTTGCCTTTGTACACCTTGAGAAGTGAGCCTACCTGATAGACCATAGTCACAAGAAAGCCAAGTTCAAAACATTTATTTGTTTTCAACTTTCTAATACCCTGTGTCCCGATTTACTTGCTGGACATTGGGTGGCAAATGTAGTAAGCTTTCTCGTCAGACTATATTTGGGTTGCCAACCCTCAAATAATGACATGGAGACTTATCATTAATTATGAAAGCTTGACTTTAGCTTAGGCCTTTTCCCAACTAGCTCTTCTAACTTAAATTAACCTGTCAATCTACATTCTGTCACATGGCTCCTGTTACCTTTGCTCTGTACCCTCTGTCTGACTCCTTTAGAGTTGCTGGCATCCCCTGCTTCTCTCTCCCTGAGAGTTCTGTCTATTCTTTCCTGCCTAGCTGTTGGCCATCCAGGTCTTTATTAAACCAGTCACAGTGACACGTCTTCATACAGTGTAAACAAATATTCTGCAACATACTGACATACTACTTGTCTAAATTAGTGGGAGAGGGTAAACATTCCATATATGTTTACTTTGTGCATTGATTATGCTTACCCTGTGGTTTTCTACCATCTTTTTCTCCTTCCCTTGCCTGATAGACCCTCTTCTACTTTATGAATTTTTTGTTCAGCCTTTTTAGAAAATTTTCCATATGTAAGACAGAATGTGCTGCATTTGTCTTTGTGTTTGATTTAGTTTGCTTAACACAGTGATTTCCAGTTCTGTCAGTTTTTCTAATGAATAATAGTATTTCATTTATTCTTTGCGACTGAATAATACTCTAATATGTAGATGTATGCATCATTTTCTTTATTAATCTGTTGATGAACAGTAAGGCTGATTGCATGTCTAGGCTATTGTGAGCCTTACTGTCATAATCATGGTTATACAGTTATGTTTTCTATATAGTGACTTCATTTCTTTCTTACATACACAAACACAGGAGTAGAATGGCTAAATGTTATGTTTATTTTATTTTGTACCATTTCTGTAATAGAAACCCCTGTTTATTCTTAGTAGGAAAGTGTTTATCGTTATACAACATGGCATTTTATTTTTAATCCATATTTTTTAATTATGTGTATTGTGTACTGGGGTGTGTGTGTGTGTGTGTGTGTGTGTGTGTGTGTGTGTGTGTGCACGCGCACATATGTTCAGGTGCCTGCAGAGTTCAGGTAAAAGTGTTGGGTATCATGGAGCTGGTATTTTAGGTGGTTGTGAATTGTCCAGTGTGGGTTCTGGGAACTCAAGTCAACTCCTGCAAGGGTAGTATATACTCTTAACCACTAAACCATTTCTCTAGCTCCTACATGTAGCAATTTATGAGCTTATGTATTTGTGATTTGCCTGGTTGTTTTATCATAGAATGTTATAATTGTTTTATAGTATTTACTAAGCCCAACAGGTGATTGTTTTCTGTGTGTGTTGTGCAGTATAACTGACATGCACTGCTTGTTAATGTTGAAAAAATGCTTGTCATGAATGGGTCTAAGTAAGTTTATAAGAGATTATTGCATTGTTTTTGCTGGTACTCTGCTTTTTGTGAATTTTTCCTCTTTTTCCTATTCCTTTGCATTCAAAATTGCCACTTAATTCATTATATAAATGAACTAATATTATCTTCCATTTTAATGTATTTTTTGATATTTTAGTGTGTGTTTACACAGAATATGCTGTTATGTCCCCTTTTCTCATTCAGTTGCATTACAGCCTTTTTGGCAATTAGTATGCACCTTTAGGACATGATGGAAAATGCTCTTTTACTGATTCACGAAACCTTATTCAATATGAATAATCTGTTCATAGATTATTTGAAACTATGACTCTCCTGATTATTTAAAGTACATGTAATCATCTGTTCTTAATTAGAGGATCACTCTTTTTACGATGCTTACATTGTCTTTTTGGTACATAAAATTGATAAAGTCAACACAGTAAGTGTTATTTTTGCTGAAAATATTTTCACTGTGGAATATCTTTCTGTAATTAATCAGAAACCTGTTATATCTTCTAGTCAAGTCTCCTGAACATATAATTAAAGATTTACCACCAAAAGAGAGTGGCGATTCAGGAGAAATAGACCAGAAAATGGTGTCAGAAAGATATAAAAGCAGTGACACTGAAGACTTTTTCTTCAGAGGAATCCAGAAGAACATACAGGATTTTGAGTTTCAGTGGAAAGACAGTGAAAGGAAGTATAAATCCACCAATAGTAAACATCAAGATAGTAGGAAGAAGACAGGAAAATGCATAAGGAACCTACTTGAACTGCAGTCATTTCCATCTGCAGAGAATATTGATGATAATGAGGTTAAGTCTATCACCAATGTTTCTTCAATTTCATTATCTCAAAGAATTCCTCTCACTGGTGTCAAAGCACACATTGTTCCTGAGTATGATGATGATATTTATTGTTCACTACTTATGAAAAAACAGAAAGCACACATTAAGGAAAAACCTTATCAATGTAATGAGTGTGGCAAGGTCTTCAGTTATACTTCTTCTCTGGCACATCATCAGCAAATTCATACTGGAGAGAAACTTTACAAATGTGTTGAATGTGGTAAGGCTTTTTTTCGACGTTCTTATCTTTTGGTACATGAGAGGCATCATACTGGAGCAAAACCTTACAAATGTAGTGAATGTGGCAAGGTTTTCACACAGAATTCACACCTTACAAGTCATCGGAGAATTCATACTGGTGAGAAACCATACAAGTGTAATGAATGTGGCAAAGCCTTTAGTGTTCGTTCAAACCTAACTAATCATCAGGTAATTCATACTGGAGAAAAACCTTACAAATGTAATGAGTGTGGCAAGGTCTTCAGTCAAACTTCAAGCCTTGCGATTCATCGGAGAACTCATACTGGAGAGAAACCTTACAGGTGCAACGAGTGTGGAAAAGTCTTTAGTTCACATTCAAACCTAAATACCCATCAGATAATCCATACAGGAGAAAAACCCTACAAATGTTCAGAGTGTGGCAAGGTCTTTACTCAGAATTCACACCTTGCAAATCATTGGAGAATACATACAGGAGAGAAACCATACAAGTGTAATGAGTGTGGAAAGGCCTTTAGTGTGTATTCCAGCCTCACTACCCATCAGGCAATCCATACTGGAGAAAAACCTTACAAGTGTGATGAGTGTGGCAAGGTCTTTACTCAAAATTCACATCTTGCAAGTCATCGTGGAGTCCACAGTGGCGAGAAACCTTACAAGTGTGAAGAATGTGGCAAAGTCTTCAGTCAGACTTCAAATCTTGCAAGACATTGGAGGGTTCATACTGGAGAGAAGCCTTACAAATGCAATGAGTGTGGCAAAGCTTTTAGTGTGCGTTCAAGCCTAACTTCCCATCAGGTAATCCATACTGGAGAAAAACCTTACAAATGTAATGAATGTGGCAAAGTCTTTAGTCAGACTTCAAGCCTTGCAATTCATCAGAGAATTCATACTGGGGAGAAACCTTACAGGTGCAATGAGTGTGGAAAAGCTTTTAATTCACATTCAAACCTAAATACCCATCAGGTAATCCATAGTGGGCAAAAACCCTATAAATGTCTGGAATGTGGCAAGGTCTTTACTCAAAATTCACACTTGGCTAATCATCGCAGAACCCATACAGGAGAGAAACCTTACAAGTGTAATGAGTGTGGCAAAGCTTTCAGTGTGTACTCAAGTCTGACTACTCATCAGGCAATCCATACTGGAGAAAAACCTTACAAGTGCAATGAATGTGGTAAAGTCTTCACTCAAAATTCACACCTAGCAAGTCACCGTAGGACTCATACTGGAGAAAAACCTTACAAGTGTGATAAATGTGGTAAAGCCTTTAGTGTACGTTCAAGCTTGACTACTCATCAGGCAATCCATACTGGAGAAAAACCTTACACATGTAGTGAGTGTGGCAAAGTCTTTAGTCGAAGTTCCAACCTTTCAAGTCATCGGAGACTTCATATTGGACAGAAGCATAAATGAATATAGCAGGGTCTTCAGCCACAGTTCACTTGCACAATATTCAGGAATTCAGTCTTAAGAAAATTATTTTTAATGATAGAAAAATACCTGTCAAGAGTTCAAGTACATCACTGAATGTGGTGGTATGCATGTAAACCACACAGTACTTGTCAGGCTGTTGTGAGACCATCAATCACCTATGATGTATAGGAAGAACTTAAATTTTAAAAATGTCAAGCTTTTATTGAAATATATTAAGAAGCCATTTCATTCATGTACAGCACATGCTTTATTACACGACTCCCACCTCTAGAAATACCAAAATATACATTGCTGATGAAATTGTCCACTTGGCACTTACTGAGGAAGGTGCTTAATGACCATTATTGTGAAGGGTTTATCAGAGTAATAACTCCTCTTCCATAGCTATGTTACAGTCTACAGAATAATTGTTAAAAAACAACTAAAAATCAAAATAAGTTAAAACATATATATGGAAGTTGGAAGACTATTTTGATACACCTGGTTGCCTTCAGGTTATAAATTATTCATTTTGTTGTGTTTCTTTGCAAAGGCTGCCATTTATAATTGTCAGCCTCAACTTTGTGTTGCTAGAATGCTTACCTCAGGGGCTTTTTATTGCAGCCTCTGGGAAAAATGAAGAGAAGGGTCACATTAGTAGGAAACAAGCATGTTTCTAATTTCTGAGCACTACTCTACCTTTTAAGTTAAATATTGCCTAAGTTATTGTCCTAATTTGTTTTAGTTGCTGTGATAAACCCCATGGCCAAAGCCAACTTGAAGAGGAAAGGGTTTATTTCATTATGGATTATATTCAATCAAGGGAAGCCAGGGTAGAGGCTAGAGTAGGAACCTGGAGGCAGGAACTAAGGTAGACAATAGAGAAAGGATGCCTGTTCGTTTCATTTAGCTTCTGTTATACAACCCAGGACCATCTAATAAGGGGTGGTACTGCCCAGAGTGGCCTAGGCCCTCCCAGACTAGTCATAAATAAAATGATTGTCCGACATGCCCAGAGTTCAGCCTGATGGAGGCATTTCCTTGAAGGTCCCTCTTCCCAGGTAACTCTAGTAGGTGTCAATTTGACAAGGTGTAACCAGAACATTTATCATATGAAAGGAATGGGATAATGTAAAATTGCAACATAAAGCTATCAAGTTTATTGTGTCTGATTGGTGCTCTCCGTGAGGGAACAGCAATTAAATGGGAAAGGAATTAAGGTACTAGATGTTTTATGAAGTGAGGATAATAGGCTAGTGGGGAATGAATTGTTTAGTAAAATACAAAAGACATCGTGACCATCTACACTGAATGACAAGAGCTTTCAGAGCAAATAATAAACAGTTATTCTTACTTTTTAATTTGAAGTGAAAAACATTGTTAGAATGGAAAATTTAACCCAAAGAATCAAAGTGTAGGTGCTGGCTTCATAGGTAGTAGAGGAGCACTTGTTTTCCACATGTGAGGCTCTATGTTAAATCCTTAACAGCACCAAAAGTAAAAATGCACAAAAGCTTTCTTAAGGATAATATTTAACTACGGTTGTTGAGCTTTGCCATGGTTTTATTTAAAATGTATCATTTATCCAATTTTCAGTTAATGAGAGTAAAACTTTTTCATTCCTGCAAATGTATTTTTATATTCTTCTGTCTGTATAGTCTCTTTGTGTATCAGTACAGTGCTTACTCATGGGAAATGAAAAAAATGGTGTGAAGCTCTTAATGTTGAGGTTTCTATATTTTTTATATGAAATCAAACGCCATAACATTTTAGGAACCAATAATCACTTTTCCATGAACTTATTCAGTCCATGCCCCTAGGAAACTTGTGTAGGTATAATGGGCATCCAGAAAGCCACATAGTGCAGACTGCCAAAGTAAAGCTGACATGTTTTGTGTATATACCTGTACACTTGAAGCTTCTCTTCATAGTTGTGCAATACTTCAGACATTCCATTGATTGATATGAACTGTGAAGTCCTCACTCTGGTTGACTTTCCACATCAATAAAAATTTAAAAACAACAGTACTGTTAGAATCATGAAGTCAATTATTTCAAGAAAAACCAGAATTTTAGCACTATTTAGTACACATGAAATTGAACTACATGAAGTAGCATGGATAGAAATATATTTGAATTTCTAAAGGGAGATGATTAATTACTTTTCTGTTATGAAAGAATACCTTGACAAAAACAAGTTAGGGAAGAAAGTTTATTTTACAGTTTTCAGAGAAGATACAGTCCATCATGACAAGGAAGGTGTAGGAGTCAGCAAATGTCACATTTCATGAACAGGAAGCAGAATAGGAAGTTGGGTTGTGCTATCAAACCTCAAAGCACTACCCCCAGTGACGTATTTCTCTAGTAAGGTTCCACAACCTTCACAAATAAATAGTACCCCTAACTGGGAAGCAAGTGATCAAATACATGAGCCTGTGGGAAACTTCTTATTGAGCCCCTCATAGATTCCCCTCGATGTTGCATCCTTTCTGCTCTAAACCAGTAGGAACTGGAAAACACTACTAAGTTCTGCCACCAGCTTGGGATGAAAGCTTTCCTTCATTGGGTCAGTTGCTGCAGCAGCTTCTGTATACACGAGGTGGTGAAAATCCTCCCTATTTGGTTTGTTGGGGCAGAATAACTCTAAAGTTGCACCACTCTAAAAGGAGCCTTAGCTCTTGGAGTTCTGCCGTCAGGTCATCTTATTGTTACAGCCTGAAGCTCCTACATACAGTGCTAATCATTTTAACAATTATCTTTTCAATATTGGCCTTGACTGTAGTCTTATGCTTCTCTGTGCTGTTTTGCTCTCCAGAATGCTTCTTTCTGTGTTGAATGTTTTTGTTTTTCATTGCAGACTGACAAGTAATCAGTGATAACAATGCCACAAAATAATGTGCTATTTTGAAGATTTCCCATAGAAATCAGTCCATTCCTTCGTAATGCAATGTCAAGAAAATTCTTGGCAACGGCCAGAAATCAGCTAGATTCTTTGCCAATATATCACATAAATGGCCTCTAGCATAGTTGGTAATAGAGTCCTGCTTTCTTATGAAATCTCAAGAGCTATGCTTCCATACTTTGCATTTTTTCTCAGCATTGCTGACATCTATGCTCACACTAGAAGTGTCCATAAGTTCTAGTTACAGCATTCAATAATATTCCCAACCAAAAGTCCCACATCTTTGGATATTTCTTCCACAAAGCATAGGCCTATAAACCAGATGATTGGGTTTACCAAACAATGGGCTCCCCAGGCTCATAAATTTCAATGCTTGGTCAGGGAGCCACAATATTTGAAAGTATAAGGAGTTGTGGCATTCTAGAAGAAGTGTTACTAGGGGTGCTCTTTGAAGTTTCGAAAACCCAAGCCAAGCCCCGTGGCTCTCTGTTCTTGCTACCTGCAGATCCTAGTGTAGAACTCAGTTACTTCTACAGCACCATGTCTGCCTGCATGCTGCCATGCTTCCCTGCCATGATGATAATGGACTAAACCTCTGAAACTAGAGACAAACTCCAATTAAATGCTTTTAAGATTAGTCATGGACATGTTGTCTCTTACAAAGATTGAACTTCGGCTAAGACAGGGGCTGGTACCTGGGATTGGGGCATTGCTATTACAGGCCTCACAATGTTTTGGGGAATGTGGAAGATTTGGGGACCTTGAACTAGACATATATTAAAGTAGGTCTTAATGGGTCATCCTAGTAGGAACATAAAAGATAGTGCTGAGGGTGATTTGAAATGTGGAAGCTCACTTCAAAAGTTTCGGAGGGGAAGAATATTAGTAAGTGGCCTAGAGTCTGTTCTTGTGATATTTTGGCAAATAATGTGCCTGTTTTCTACCCCTGCCCTAAAAGTCTTCCAGAGACTAAATTGAAGAAGTTTGGATTAATGACATCAGAGATTATTGACTCTGTCTCATGATTTGTGGGCACTCCAATGCAGTTCTCTAATGAAAAGTAACAAGCTGAGTAAGGAAATGTACAGTTTGAGGAGAAAAGGAGCACCAGGAAGTATAATGTAGACCCTGAGTCTAGTGTTGAAGGAGATAAAATGTTTAAAAAATGATGCTAAATATAATAAATGAAGTGACCTCAGTGCATGACTCTTCCCAGCAAAGTTTCCAACTTGTGAAAAGAAATTAAAAGCTTAAGGAATAAAGGAAATGATCAAAAAGAAAGTTGATGTACATGTAATTGGATGAGGGGCCCACATTCCACCTCCTGCAAGCAGCAGAATTTGGCAGATTTGACCATATCTGACTTTTCGAGTCCAGGATACAGGAAAGGGGTTGTGACATCTCCCTCTGCAGCTAGGAAAAGTTGCTGAGGCCAGATGTGTGTGAGTGATATCCCTCCATGGAGGCCCAGAAATGATTTACATGAAACTGGGAATGTGAAGCCTTTATTGCTTTGGAGACCCCAAGATGGAGATACCAGAATGTGGGATACCTGTCAAGAAAAAAAAAAGTGCTAAAAGGGAGAGCAGCCCAAGAGAGAGAAGTGTGTTGTAGTCAACAAAGCTGAAAGGGGTTGGATATCTGAAGAGCTTTGACATCAGACATGGTGATGTAGAATTGGGAGTTTGCCTTGCTGGTTTGTAGTCCTTTGGTCCAGAATTATCCTTCCTTGCCTCCCTTTCGGAATGGTAATGTATATTCCATGCCATTGTATATGATCTGCTTTTTTATTTTGATTTTACAAGGGGTTACATTGAAGAGATTGCCATGAGCCCCAGAAGAGACTTTGGACTTTTAAACCATGTTGAAACTGTTGTAGATTATGGGGTCTTTTGAAGTTGAATTGAATACATTTTTTTGATGTATTTGCAAGCCTATGGGGACTTGGGAGTGGAATGGGTGGTTTTAATAAAAAATGGCCCCCATAATCTCATATATTTAAATGCTTGATTGGTCTTTAGAGAGTCCCCCTACTTGACAGGGATTAGGAGGTATGGTTTTGTCAGAGGAAGTTTGTCACTGGGCGTTTGCTTTGGGGTTTCAAATGCTCAAACCCGGTCTGTCTCTCACTTTCTGCTGCCTGCAGATACAGATGTAGAATATTCTGCTACACCTCCAACATCATGTCTGCCTGCGTACCACCAGGCTTCCCACCATAATGATCATGAACTAAACCTCTGAAAGTGTAAGCTAACCCCAGTTAAAATTTTTCTTTTCTAAGTGTTGCCATCATCCTAGTGTCTCTTCTTAGCAATTGAACACTAAGATAAAAATGATATATATTAAAAGAGAGGGAAGTGGAACAATTTTACATTTTCCAAGCTAAACCTATTAGCAGGAAAAAATAATTTGTTACGTTTCCAGTCCAAGAAGGCTACTGGTTTTGGGGTATTGGGTGGTCAAATAAGTGGTAGACCCTTGTTACAACGTTTTCATATGTATATATCATTTTACTTTGTTATATTGTTACCTCTTCACTTTTCTTTACCCCTACTGACCCTCCATTAGTTCTCTGCCTCCTTAAATATTCTCCCTTTTTCGGACATCTTGACTCTTTAGTCTATAGTATTTGAGCATTTATTTACTTCTCAATGTTGGGGTCAGGTCTCCATTAATGTTCAAGCATGAACACTCAGGATGGTCTCAGATGATATACTAAGTTTTGTGCTTTGCTGAAAGACAACTCTTGGTCATATCTCTAGGTGAACAGATATGTCCATCCCATGTAAAGTCAGTGACTGTAACTGAGAACTGTCAATTCTGATATGGTTGCCAACTCCCAACCCACCAACACCAAATATACCAACACATGCAAGCTCCTCCAGGGCTCAGAAGTTATACCACTGAGCCTGTTCCTCTTTTTCCTGTCCCTCTTTAACCATCCCTGGACTACATCCAGTACATTACTTCCAACCAAGCACCTGATATCTAATTCAGAATCCAGACACATTTAGACCTGGAATCTGCCACAGAAATTATCTCCTATTCCAGTTCTGCATGCTGGATGAGATCTTGATCAGCTCGATTCCACACATCTCATTTTTTCTATTCTCTACTCATATATAATGTATAACAGTTTACTTCATGCAAGAATTGTTACTACATTAATGTGTGATCTAAAATTAACAATATTAAATGTAAAATTTTGTTTTCTTGAGACAGGGTCTCATGTAGCGCCATCTGGCTTTGAACTTTTGTGAACTTCCTGCCTCTACTTCCCAAGTGTGCTGAGATTACAGGTTTGTACTCAATGCCTGGTAGTAATTTCTTGGTATCTTACACGAACTTATTAATGATCTGATATATATTTCAAAAAGTTGAGGTCACGAAAAGATTATTAAGCACATACTGGGATACTAGGGGTTTTTGTTGTTGTTTTGTTTGTTTTTGTTTTGTTTTTTTTAACTTTCGCTTTTTCTTAATTTGATTTTCTTTTCTTTATCGTATAATATCTCCAACACCAGTAATTTAGTTTTTATTATAAAATCAAGTGTGGTTTTCCTTTGCAGTTGTTGTAGGAGACAACACTGTTTGGGTGCACGTGGCTCATCACCCAGCAGGCTCCTGAAGCAGTATGTCCCTGTCTGCCAACTTCTCTTAGGGTATGTAAACATTCATGCCTCATTGGTATTGACCTGAAAAATCCTTAAATCATACTAAATGGACATTTTTGAGTAAATTTTAAAAGCCACAAGTGAGAAAGATATTAGGGACTTATAATACATTGCAGATATATAACCAGATGTTAGAATTACTTAGCAGTTAAAGCAGCATGATGGATCCTGACATCTCTGTTACCCTACTGCTCCTTTATTCAGAGCATGGATTTACATTCACTTTATCCTTTGTGCTGAACTCAAGTCTCTTCATCTTTATAATCAAAGTAAGCATATTGTCTGCCTAGGGTACTGCGGAATAAAATTTACCATATGGTCTGCATCCACGGAAGGGCTTTCTACAAGTTGGGTACTTTTAGAAATATTGGAACATCTTAGAGACTTTAAAAGAAAGATCAGTCAACCAAGTCTTCCTTGAGAAGAATGACAGGAGAACGCATGCTGTTTTGTTGACTTGGGTCATGAATTGCAGCTCTAACCTTCCCAAGAAGGATCAGATAGCAGGACCCAACACATGGTATCCAGTGAGGTGGCTAAAGGAATGATCACGTTGTCACAGACTGTTTTTGGAGTTACAGAAAATCAGTCTCCCCTTGCCATTATTGATTCTTCCCTTCATGGGGTTCAGATTAAAGCCCACAGATGTGATTCTTCAACACTTGATTGTGTTGAGCTTCTTTACTATGTTGTGTGGAGGAGTGCCCCACACAATGGCAGCTTTCGCGTTGAAAGACTTCTTAGGAGATTTTGAAGGTCAATTCCTCTTATCTCCAGAGTAGGCAGGGGTGTGTCTGTTGGCAGTATCAGCTTCCTGAGTGCCTTCCAGGCCAACGCTATCAACCATAGTGACTCCATGTGGGCAGATTTTTAAAGGCAAAATTCCCAGGTACAGTGGTGCCTTATGCACTTGGGCTGAATCCTTCATCTCCCTTTGAGTATGGCTTTTCCTGAGTAAATAACTGGAAGACACAACACTAACATCATGTACTTAAGAGATTATGGCCGGGCAGTGGTGGCACATGCCTTTAATCCCAGCACTTGGGAGGCAGAGTCAGCTGGATCTCTGTGAGTTCGAGGCCAGCCTGGACTACCAAGTGAGTTCCAGGAAAGGCGCAAAGCTACACAGAGAAACCCTGTCTCAAAAAACCAAAAAAAAAAAAAGAGATTATGATTACTGTGGGCCTGTTCTCCAAGGAAAGAAAGTGGAAATCTGCATTTGCTAGTTTATAGTTTCTAGACATTCTGTGTGTCAGGCTTATGCTCTGGGCCAATAGCTGTGGGCTCATACTCCAAAGCATAAGCAGAAAATGCAACTCATTTTCCCAGGACCAAGGTCTCCTACACATCCACCCCTGAGTCCAAAGCCACAAAAAAACTGTCCTTTTCCTGGCCAGTACATTTGTTTGCCGTTATCCATTTTCTTGCATCTTGATCAACTGTTTAAGTCTTTTCATTAATCTCACTTGGTTGCTGCTGAGTGTGTCTGTTACTCACTGGAAGTTTCTCCACAGTCAGCTTCTTCTTGCTTATGAGCTGTGACCCCAGTGCATCCAGCTTCTGCCATCTCTGCATGAACAACAGAAAAGTTCCTAACATCATCACCAACCTGTAATTTAAAAGCATCTGTACAGTTGTACAGTGTTCAGTTCAGAAACTTGCATATTTTATAAAAAAAAAAAAAGTCATATCACATGGAACCTTGTTAACACAGTACTCCTTTGTATAATGAATGTGGACATGTTTCTGTGTTCATAAACATGACACCATGTCTTCCTTATTCATCCCCTTCAGACTGTGAATAGTGTGCTCATTATGAATATTCCAGTCAACAGTGAAAACCTATTACAGTGCTAATTTCTAATTTTAAACTGTTATTTGAAAACAATAGAAAATGCTTTAGCGAAGTTGCTTCTACTTTATTAGTTTTAGTATTTTAGGTGACTAACTTTTTATTTTAAGAAATTATTGATATTTATATCAATTTACTTTCAATTATTTTTTCTGACTTATCTGTGGCTTTTGATATATCAGTGAATGAAATAAAAATAATTTTCTTTTACAACTGCTCTGTTTTATTTATTGATAAAAAATCATATATTTTGATTGTTTTCTCTCCCCTTAATTTCTCCTATATCCTCTCAACTTTGATACTCACCCAACTTTATGTTCGTTTTCTCTCTCTTCCAAAAAGAAACAAATAAAAATCACACTAAAAATCTACATGAAAGCACTGAAGTAGAAATCAAAACAAGCAAGGCAAAAGACTAATAGAACAACAAAATAACAGAACAACAACAAAAAAAAATGACATAAAAATCTACAAAAATTCTGTTAAGTTTATTTCATTTTGATCAGCTAGTCTGGGAATGGAACATACCCCGAAGTGAGACTCCATCGTCCACTCTCCCTCTCAGTGTTGGAACATTTGGCTTGAACTTGTACAGGTATGTGTGCTGTCACAGTCCCTTATGAGTTCATATGTCCATTGGTGCTGTTGTGTCTGGAGGATATTTTTTTAAGTCATCTATTACTTCTAGATCTTAAAATCTTTCCATCTTCTTTTCCACATAGATCCCTGACCCATGAAGGGAGGACTATGATGAAGACATCCTATTTAGGATTGAGTATTCCAGAGTCTGGATTGAGTGTTCCAGAGTCTCTCCTATACTTATTGTATAATTGTGGTTATATGTGGTAGTTCTCATCTATTGCAAGACAAAGCCACTTTTTGGTGGTCTGAGTGAGGCACTGATTTATGGGTATAAGAATGTACCACTAGGAATAAATTTATTGCTATGATTCTTTATTTGACCAGTAACATGTTTTTCCCATAGGCTTATAAGTTATTTCACGTTCTTGGCCACTTTAAGCAGAATCAGGTATTGGTTCCACTTCATACAGTAGGCCCTAAATCCAAGCAAAATTAGTTAATTCCATAATATTTATGCCACTATTGTACTAGTATACTCTTACAGGTAGCTCATGTTTGTGTAGTCTTGTGGTTTGTAGCTGGTAGATATTGATGGTTACATTTATCCTACAGGACAAAGCAAAGTCTTAATTGTAAGGAAAAGGAGTTAAATGCATCTAGGAAACAAGGGTTATTATGTTTGATACTATATTAAATTATAAACAATTTATGAAAGTGTCTATTTGAAAGTCATTCCTACGCATGTGCACAGTGGTTACTGATACTCGATATTGTATAAAAGTAATTGTTTTCACCTCTGGCTCTAGCAAGGGATTAGGTTAAAGTCTCTCCTCACATACTCAGGCTTAAGTGTTCTATAATATTTTAAGAATCATATTTGATGTATATTCTCTTTTAAAACTTTTAAATTCATTGGGGTCTGAATGTTTTGCCTGGGGTTATTTATGTGCAGTGCCTGCATGCAGTGCTCAGAAATGCTAGAAAACAAATTGAGATTGTCTGGAACTGGTGTTGCTAGGAGTTCAACTAGGGTCCTTTGGAAGATTAGCCAACAGTCTTAACCATTGAGCCACCTATTCATCCCTTCCATTTCTTTTTTAACCTAATTTCCTCTGTTTTCTCCAACCTCAACCATTACTGCTCTTGCCCTAAAATTCTCTTCGCTCTGCTTTTCTGAGGGGAGATAGCTGCCTCTAACCACTATGTTGGTTTGAAACAAAATAACCCCCAAATAGAGTGGCACTATTAGGAAGTATGACTTTGTTGAAGTAGGTGTGGCCTTGTTGGAGTAAGTGTGTCACTCTTGTGGTAGACTTTGAGGTCTTTCTGCAAGCTTCCCTCAGAGTGACACTCAGACCACTTCCTCTTGCCTAGAAGATATAGTACTCCCAGCACCACGTCTACCTGCACTCTGCCATGTCCCACCATGATGATAATGGACTGAACATCTGAACTGTAAGCGAGCCACCCAAACTAAATGTTTTCCTTTATGAGAGTTGTGATCACGGTGTCTCCTCATAGCAATAGAAACCCTAACTAAGATACTCAACTTCTGAATGTTTCAATCCATAAATTTGGGTAGGAGAAGTGAATCAGGAATCAAAGAATAGTTTTAAGTAGGAAATTTATATAGATGGTGTCAGGTGACCATGGACCTCCAAAACTAAAAGTACATAGCAGGCACCCTCATCAGAACAGGTCTGGGGAAATGAGCCCAGGCCTCAGAATTCCTCATCCTTAGCAATGATGAATTCACAGCAAGAGAAAAAAAAAAAAGGAAAGAAAGAAAGAAAAAACAACTTGCATCTACTGAAATTTATCAATTTGGGAAGTTGGCTACATCTTGCAGGCAATAGGAGGTAAACTGTGACACTGGGCATGACTTGAGCATATATGTGACCTAAGAGCCCACCTCCACAGTGACACAGTTCCTCCAACAAGGCTATACCTACTCCAAAAAGCCACACCTCCTAATAGTGCCACTTCCTATGAGCTTATGTGGGCCAGTTACATTCAAACGACCACATTCTACTCCCTGGCCCCTGTAAGTTTGTAGCAATATCATAGTGCAAAAATGCATTTAGTCCAACTTCAAAAGTCCTATAATCTATCACAGTCTCAATCATGTTTAAAGGTCCAAAGTTCAAAATCTCTTAAATTTTATGCAATCTTTTAACTATAATCCCCTATAAAATCAAAACCAAAAATCAAAAAAAAAAAAAAAAAAACAGATCACATACTTCCAACATATAATGGAACAGGATATACATTACCCTTTCAAAACATAGGGAAAGAATCATAGTGAGGAAATTCATGACCAAAGCAAGACCCAAAACAAACTGGGCAAACTCCATACTCTATCTTCATATCCGATGTCAAAGTGCTCTTTAGATCTCCAACTCCTGCTGTGGATATTGCTCTGTATAAATAAAATGCTGATTGGCTAGTAGCCAAGCAGGAAGTATAGGCAGGACAAGCAGAGAAGAGAATTCTGGGAACAGGAAGGCTGAGTCAGGAGACGCTATCAGCCACCGCCATGAGTACCAACATGTAAGATACTGGTAAGCCATGATTCATGTGACAACGTATAGATTTATAGAAATGGGTTAATTTAAGATTTAAGAACTAGATAGCTAGAAGCCTGAACCATTAGGCCAAACAGTTTAAATAATATAAGAGTCTGTGTGTTTATTTTATAAGTGGGCTGGGAGACTGCTGGAGCTTGGCGGGAGCTGGAGAGAAACTCTCCAGCTACAAACTCCTTTTAGCTTTTTGACTGAGACACACTTCTTTCTCTTGGGCTGGTTCCATTCCCTATTAACAGCTTTCTTTGACTCATGCTCCACAGCAGTGGCATCCCCAACATTTTGCAGTCTCCAATGCAAATCCATTTCACTTCCTGGTGCCCATTTTATCCTCAATCTGTACATTTTGTATTTTTCCTTGCTCAGGTTGCTTCTTTTCATTACAGATCTAATTAATACAAATCTAATTAGTTAATACTGATAACCATGGGACAGAATCTATGCTAGGCTGTTTTGAAATTTCCTCTGCCAATGCAATTAATCCAAAATTCTTCTTTATCCTCAAGCCAACTTTTTAAACAAGAGTAAGAGGTAGCCACATTCTTCACCAAAATGTCACAAGACCAGTCTCTAAGCCACAGACTAGCATTCTTCTCCCCTGAAATCTCTGAGCCAGGCCCCCACAATTCAGGTCACCCTCAGCATCGTTCTATTCCATGTTCCTAATAGGATGGCCCATTAAGCCCAACTTAAAACATTCAACTCCTTTTCTAAACCACAACCCCAAAATCCATATTGCTGCAACAACAACAACAAAACATGGTCAATAATATAAGGCCAATACCCCAGTCCCTGGTACCAACTTCTGTCTCAGTTAGGGTTTCTATTGCTTTGAAAAGTCACCATGACCATGGAAACTTTTATAAAGGAAAACTTTTAATTGGACCTGGCCTACAGTTTGAGAGGTGTAGTCCATTATTGTTTTGGCAAGAAACATGGCAGCATGCAAGCAGACATGATGCTGGAGAAACTGAGAGTTCTGCATCTTGATCTGCAGAAAACAGGATGTTAACCATCACACTGGGCATGGCTTGATCATATTTGAAACCTGAAAGCCTGCCGCCAAAGTTATACACTTCCAAAAAGCCTACTTCAAGGCTATAACTACTGCAGCCAGGTTATACCTACTACTAGTGCCACTCCCCATGGGCCAAGCATTAAAATACTTGAGTCTATGGGGCCATACCTATGCAAACTTCCATAGGCCTCTTTGATGATATGGTTCTTGTCTCATGCCTATGAATGGTATTTGGTAGTTGTTCTTTCCCATTCCTCCTCTCTGCTTATTCTCTGCCAAGAGATATGAGGCTTCTGCAATGCTCTTATACTGTACTAAGGTTGTTTTATTGATAAACATTTAAAAGCATAGGATCTAGGTGACCATTGACAGAAATCTCAAAAATTATGTGTTAAAACAGATCTTTCCTCCTTTAAGTTGTCCCTATCAGGTGTTTGTCATAGTAGCAGAAGTTCTGCCACAAGGATTGGGGTGAGCATTGCCATATATGGAGTCATTCTGGGAATCTGTAACAGTACCTGCTTGACTCTATACCAAGATCTTAGACCCTTGAAGGTACCCAGACCATAGTAACACTTGCCAAAACCAAAACAAACAACAAATCTATAAAAACATGCAGATTCAGTTCTCAGTATATACCTGGTATTTAACAAGTCTGTTAATGCAGTTGCACAGCATTGGCACCCTATTCAGGACTCTGTGAGCACTGCATATATGCTGGTAAATACAGGTAAACTCATGAATTCCAGTTAATGTTTCGGATTATCTAAGAATGATGTGGTTTACTCATAGAAAACTGTTGGAAGCCGGGCGGTGGTGGCGCACGCCTTTAATCCCAGCACTCGGGAGGCAGAGCCAGGCGGATCTCTGTGAGTTCGAGGCCAGCCTGGGCTACCAAGTGAGTTCCAGGAAAAGGCGCAAAGCTAAACAGAGAAACCCTGTCTCGAAAAAAAAAGAAAAAAAAATGAAAACTGTTGGAAAACAATAGAATTACTTGTCTGCTTCTTGGTGCTACTAATCATATAGTTCTATGTTTTCCTTTGTTGTGCTACAGTTTATTCTATATATCGGTTGGAGTGTTTCAGACACATTATATTATTTCCAAAACACTTTATAAATGAACGTCATCACTTCTACAATGCCATACATATTTCTCTCTTCGCTTCCCTTCTCTCTCTGAAACTGAATTTACTCTACAGCTGAACAGAATGCTATACATGTCTCTGAGACAGAAGTCAGATGGCTTCTATTTCTTTTTTTTTTTTTTTTTTTTTTTTTTTTTTGGTTAGGTCCCATTTTATTTTTCCAAGGTGTTTTTTCTTCTGTCTTTATGAAGCCATCTCTTTACATGGACTTTGGTAGAGATCATGGTGCAGCACCAGCAGGTCTAAATAGTGGTGGGGGTGTCCAGTCCTTGCGGGCTTCACAGGATCGATTCCTGACTACCTTGCTATGAATAGCACAGCTCACACAGTAATGCAGCTTGACATAGAGCTTGGGAAGCACATAGGCGTCGAAGACATTTGCTTCGGATATGTCCCTGACAGCAGCGGCCTCTACAATGTTCCAAATGACGTACTTCTTAATGGCCTTGTCTTTGGGCACGCACCGGGCGCAGTTCGTGCATCGGATTGGCTGCACATGGCCGCAGCCCTTTTTGGCCCGAACGTTGTTTCTTCTTTTTTTGGTCATCTTGGAGCCAAGACCCGAAAGCGGCTTCTATTTCTTGATTAGAAGACTTAACAGTGTCTAATTTGTTGTCACACATTTTCTAAAATTCTAAGACTCATCTGTGTAATACATGAAACAAAACTTGAAGTTGAGTTGCGACATGTCTATAAGTTACAGACTGCCTCATTGCTTGACATTGGAAGTCATTGCAAGCTCCCCATCCCCCCACAGCAGACACGACCATATCAGTAAATTAAACATTAGGATGAGAGCAGGCTACTTGTGATTGCTGCTCATTGTATGACTTACTTTGGAGCAGAAACCCCACTGTGTTTATTTATCATGATCCTGTGATATCATAGTTCCATAGGGCTACTTATATTCTGAGAGTGATTCATAGATAAAACATCTCTATGAAAACATATTCAATTAAAATACTTTAAAGATTTGAGGGGTGCTTTTTATTCTTTATCCAATCAAACAGGGCTCAGGCAGTTTGAAGAATTGGCTGATGAAGATGCAGGGACTTGCCATTGGGAAGCACCAAGTGACCAGTGTCAAAGTTTTCAACAGCCCTAACTGGGTTTCTTAAAAAAAAAATTATAAGAAAAGAGAAAAACAAATGTGAAAGATGCAGGAGATAATATAGAGAGACAAAAAAGTACTCATCAAGACTAGAATGTTCCAAGTAATGTGGGCTTCCAGGGAGCATCTGGAGGAGACATGAGTTCCATGAATATATTTTACTTCCTGCTTGTTCATGTGCAGGGTGAAGACCATGAAGGTGCTGGCACAGAACATGAGCCCTCCACACAGAAGATCTCAGACTGCTACCAGTGGTATGTATAGTAACTACCTAACATAAACTGGGGATTGCTATATGATAGCCACAAGCTTCTTTGTTAATGTCACTTTTGTTGCCATATTTTTCCAGTGACAGACATGGGGACCATGATGGTGATGGTGTCCTTCATGTTCACGACTTGGTAATATTCACCTTAAACTATGCCTATCTCTGAGGCTTTGGGGCTGATAGTAATGACCTGGAAGACACTCAGGAGGCAAATGCAACCAAGATCACATCTCTTCCCACTCTCTGAGGATAGCAAATTAATTTACATCCAAAATACCTCGGAAAATCTTTTAACCCACAAACTAACATCATTTTAGGTATTCCTTTGGAGAGAATGACTAAGATGCCTGTAAATGTAACCAACCGTCTTTAAAATAAGAAACACAGAACCAATGCAAAGAAGAAAGCCAAGAGGTCAGAGCTAAGAGCTAAAACCTTACCCTTCCGCCTGCGATGGTCCTACCTCTCCGAACCAGAGCTACTTTCTGTGTTAAAATCCTTATATAGAATTTCTGTTCTGCCTTCTCATTGGTTTTAAACCCAGCCACATGACTGCCTCCTCACGGCCTGTCTGTATAGATCTCCAGGTTTTCCATGATTGGTATTGAGATTAAAGGCATGTGTATTCAATACTGGCTGTATCCCTGAACACACAGAGACTTACCTAGCTCTGCCTACCAAGTGGTGGGATTACAAGCGTATGCCACCACTGTCCTGCTTTCCTATGGCTTGCTAATAGCTCTGACCCCCAGGCAACTTTATTTATTTTAATACAAATAAAATGTCACCATAATTCCCCTTTTCTATTTTAATAAAAAAAGGAAAAAGCTTATAACTAACATAAGAAAAACTATATACAAAAGTACAATAACTATATACAATATATACAAGTAATAAATACCTAAACAATGTCTAGTTCATTTGTATTTGACAAATTCAGAAAAAATAATTCCATTATCTATCCTATTGTATCTAATTCACTTTCTATCCTAATTAATCTTCAACTATGACTAACTAATCTTTAACTCCCTCAGAGACCCAAGAAGGAAATAATATTAGCTAACAAAAATAAAAACAGGAAGTACATGCAAGCAACTTCCAAAAAATTGTGAGTTGACAGAAACAGCCAGCTGCCTGCACAATTATCTGAGGTTTCTCCGCAGTGTTGGGGCATCATCTTCAGCCTGTAGGCATAGCGTATCTGACAGACTCATTTGTGAAGTAGGATGTACACAAGGTCAACAGTTCAACCTCACATTGGGTGAGAGCAGTCCATGTACCAGAAACACCTGAATTCCACTAGTGTCATGTCATGATTCAGGATTTTAAATTCTGGAAATTGTTGATGGTATTTTAATTCAGCTGTCCATTCTTCTTGGCTATGTGTGTATGTGGCTTCATCTCAGCATCCCGTTCTTCTCCACATCCATCTATTGAAAATGCCATTCTACTATTGAGAGGCGTGAGCTTAATTAGTCTTCAAGAATAACTGTTTCAGCTACTGTCCCATTGCACATCAGAAGCCATCGGCCCACTGCCTGTTCAGCTGCCTTTGAAGAAAAGGGCACTGTACCTTTCCTGGATTGCAAAGGCCACTTCAGGGATGGTGCCATATTGTCCTGGCCTCAGAAGATGCCTTTTGATAAAGCCATAACCACACTTGTTTTGGCAAGAGTCCTTTGTTTCATGTCCTGTCTGTCTTGTGTGTCAGTTGATTTAAGGATACTTTGTTGTTCAGTGGCTAACTTTTGCCACAATGAAAGTTAACTCCATATGCAGTTTTTTTAATGCCCATATATTCTCTGAAGTAGATTGGTACTGCCAGGAGCTGACATGTCTCATAGTCATAACAAAAAAGAAAAATTTTCTAAGTTATTAAAACATTTTAAATGTCATATTCTGTAGATCTCTGAAGGGTTTGAAGATAACCTGTCTATCTAAAATATATCTACTCAATCTTGAAAACATACCTAATGTGACTACAAGTTCTATTATAATGTCTAACTACTAGCTTTCATTTCTTTATATCCTAATAGTTGGTCATAACTATTTCAAAGATCAGAAAATTGCATTACATTGTTAAATGAACAGAATAAGTACAATTAGAAATATACATATAGCATTTTCTAACAATATCAATTTCAATTTATATAATTTGTATACAATATAAAACAATCCAATCCAATGTATTTACATTTTTATTTTCTTTTTTTTTTTTTTTCAGTTTTTCGAGACAGGGTTTCTCTGTGTAGCTTTGCGCCTTTCCTGGAACTCACTTGGCAGTCCAGGCTGGCCTTGAACTCACAGAGATCCGCCTGGCTCTGCCTCCCGAGTGCTGGGATTAAAGGCGTGCGCCACCACCGCCCGGCTATTTTCTTTTTTTTTTAAACAAGAACCTTAAATCTTATCTCCTTTGCTTAGCCCTTTTCCTAACCCTTGACAGCAACTTGTAACCAACCCCCCTAATCAATGAAAATTATCCCAGACCCCATTAAAAGACAAAAAAAAAAAAAAAACCCACCCGCACCACACTACCTCTTTGGGCATGTGGGCGTCTTATTCTTGAAATTGCTTCCTGCTGGGTATGGGTGAAGGTATCTTTATCCTGAAAAGAAAAATTTTAGGTTAATTGTCAAATTCTAGGAAAGGTAACTATATCCTTCATTATCCAGTCTGTGTATAATGCCAAAGTTCAGGGTTTATCTCAAATCCTTATTCAAGTAGTCTTTGAGACTGGATCATCTCAGCTAGTCATCTCAAAATTGCTCTGAGCACCTTGTAGTTCAAAGCTGATCTGTATATGATGTTTGTCAGTTTAGTGATGTTATTGTTGTCCACGGCGAATTGTTGTTGTTGTGGGGCCCCCTCTTTTTCCTGGAGACTTCAGTTGATGTTAGGCCTGGCCGTAATTTCCTGCAAAAAACTGAAAAGAGACTCGAACACAAAGACATATATATGCAGGTAATTGAAGCCTTTTTTCTTTTTAGAATTAGTTAGTATTCTATATGACCATTCATATATTAACAAAGTTTAAAACGTATATATCTATATATCTATATATCTATATATATCTATATATATTAATCTTGTAAATTTTGATATAAAATTCATACTTTAAGAAAAGTTTAAAGAATCAGAATAGAATCAAAGAGTTGAGATTAGTAATAGAATAGTCCCTTAATTAATTTGGCTTTTCTCCTGTCCCATAGCAGAAGATGGCTCTTTTCTTCTGGCATGATACAGGGAGTTTGCAGTTTCCTGTTAACAACATGCTTGAGTTTAAAGAAGGAGAGAGCCATTCTGCAACTCCAAAGTCAGCTTTAAATTTTAATTGAACTGGGACTATTAGAAGACCAATAGTGTTAAATCTTTAAAGAAAAGCAGAAACAAACATTTAGGAAGACATAAAATTTTTTAGATAACATACACATACGCCATTTCACTCTTGTTTCCTGGGATAGATGATTTGTCCCTTTTTCTTCATTTGTCCACTGTTCTTCAAATTCCTTAACCTTCATTCTCCTAAAAGACAAAAACAAAAACCTTTCCCCAAGGTTTTTTTGGGATGTCCCTTTTTGGCAAGTTATCTGATTAAATGAAAAGGCATGTGTTACTGGTATAGGTTAGTTTAAATTGGATGTTCATGATAGTTGATGAACTATCACCTCCTCTAATTAAGAGGTCTCTCTTGTTCAAATCGAACCTTTATCAATTTTGATGGTACCCACAGCTTATCTTCTCCTGTAGAAATAAAAGCAAAACCTCATCCCCAATGTAACACATATCCTGGTTTCCATTCTGAGGTCAGCACATCCTTAAAGTATATAGTTTGATTTAATTCTGTAGTTTTTTCTATTATCCAATGTCTCTCTGCAGCTGTTGTTTCTTTCTCATTGGTATTGAGAAAATTCAAAGTTAATAGAGCATTATGTAGTCTATTTCTGGGGGTTTTTGTTACTCCTTTCTGTTTATTTAGCATATCCTTTAGAGTTCTGTTTGATCTTTTTATAACCGCTTGACCTGTAGGATTATGTGGTATACCTGTAACATGGTTTATATTGTAATAAGCAAAAAACTCTTTCATTTTAACAGAGGCATATGATGGTGCATTGTCAGTTTTGATTTGTGCAGGTATACCCATGATGGCCATAACTTCTAGCAAATGAGTGATTACAGAATCAGCTCTTTCAGAACTCAAAGCAGTTGCCCATTGAAATCCTGAATAAGTATCGATGGTGTGTTGTAAATATTTTAATTTTCCAAATTCTGCAAAGTGAAACACGTCCATCTGCCAGATTTCATTCCTCTGAGTACCCTTTGCGTTACATCCTGCTGGTAATGGCATTTGGTTGTAGAAGGAACAAGTAGGACATTTCTTTACTATTTCTTTGGCTTGTTGCCAGGCTATGGAAAAATCCTTTTTTAAACCTTTACTATTGACATGATGTTTTTTTATGAAATTCTGAGGCCTCCAGCACATTTCCTATCAATAATTTATCAATCTTATCCTTGCCTTGTGCTAGAGGGCCTGGCAGACCAGTATGGGATTGGATGTGAGTTATATATAAAGGATGACTCCTTTTCCTGATTGTATCTTGTAATTGAGTAAATAGTGAAGTTAATTCTGAAGCATTGTGAATAAATTCTGCAGTCTCAATATATAATACTACTCTTTCAGCATACTGAGAGTCAGTTACTACATTGAGAGGTTCTGAAAAATCCATTAATACCAACAGAATAGCATACAATTCTGATTTTTGAACTGAATTATAAGGACTTTGAACCACTTTACTTAAATTTTCTGATTTGTAACCTGCCTTTCCTTGTTTGTTGGCATCTATATAAAATGTACAAACTCCAGATATGGGTTTTTCTGCACAATTTGAGGCAAGATCCACTCAGCTCTCTTTATAAGATCAATTCTATTGCTTTTGGGATATTTGCTGTTAATTTCTCCCAAAAAATTACTGCAAGGTTTTTGCCAAGTTTCATTTTCTATCCATAATTTTTCAATGTCCTCCTTAGTTAAAGGTGTGACAATTTCTGCTGGGTCTATTCCTGCTAATTGACAAAGTCTCAATTTTCCTTTCCAAATCAAATCAGAGATTTTTTTCCACATAAGTTTTTAATTTTTTATTTGGTTTATTTGGTAAAAATATCCATTCCAATATATTATCTTCCCTCTGCATTAATATGTCTGTTGGAGAATGCCTAGAAGGTAAAATAACCAAAATGCAATCCAGCTTTGGTTAAATACGATCCACGTGCCCTTCATGTACTTTCTTTTCTACCAAGGCCAATTCTTTCTCAGCTTCAGGTGATAATTCTCTTGGACTATTTAAGTCCTTGTCACCTTCTAAGGTTTTGAACAGATTATTCAGTTCATCATTTTTTACCACAACAATAGTTCTTAGATGAGAAATGTCTCCAAGTAATCTTTGAAAGTCATTAAGAGTCTTTAGTTGATCTCTCCTAATTTGCACCTTTTGGGGTCTGATTTTTTATAGCTCTATTTTATGTCCTAAATAATTAATAGAATCTGCTCTTTGTACCTTTTCAGGAGCAATTTGTGATCCCCAGCAAGGCAAAATTTTCTTTACTTCTTCAAATATTCTTTCTAAAGTATCTGCATTTGAGTCAGCTAATAAAATATCATCCATATAATGATAAATTATAGATTTAGGAAATTTTTTGTGTACCACTTCCAACGGCTGTTGTACAAAATACTCTCACAGAGTTGGGCTGTTCAACATTTCCTGTGGGAGGACCTCCATTGAAATCTTTTAACCGGTTGAGAATTATTATAAGTAGGCACTGTGAAAGCAAATCTTTCTCTATCTTTTTCTTGTAAGTGTATTGAAAAGAAACAGTCTTTTAAATCAATAACTATGAGAGGCCATCCTTTTAGTAACAGAGTAGGCAAAGGAATTCCAGATTGTAGAGAGCCCATTGGCTGAGTTACTTTGTTAATTGCTCTAAGGTCTGTTACCATTCTCCATTTACAAGGTTTCTTTTTAATAACAAATACAGGAGAATTCCAAGGGCTGGTTAATTCTTCAATATGCTGAGCATTTAACTGTTCTTCTATCAGCTGTTGTAAAGCCTGGAGTTTCTCTGTTGTTAAAGGCCATTGCTGAACCCATACAGGCTTGTCTGTTGACCATTTTAAAGGTAGAGCTGTTGGTGTTTTTGGAAGATTATCAGTTGTTATGCCCTTTTCTTGTATGACATGGATGGCTGGTGACCACTCATTAGAATAATATCTTCTAATATTTCTCTCAGAAATATGTACTAGTTTATGATTTGTTTCTGAGATTGGAGGGATGTTAATCTGAGTATTCCATTGTTGTAACAAGTCTCGACCCAACAGGTTCATAGCTATGTTAGCCATATATGGTTTTAATTTTCCTTTCTGTCCTTCTGGACATTCGAGCCATCTTGCACTCTGTTTCACTTGAGATAAGGTCCCAATTCCTAACAGTTGAACGTTTGCCTCCTAAAGAGACTAAGTTGGATGCCAAAATTCTGGTGCGATTATGGTAATGTCCGCACCTGTGTCTACCAGAGCAGACAACAAAACACCATTTATTTTTATTGTTAGTTTTGGTCTTTGTTCATTAATAGAAGTTTGCCAAAAAATTTTCCTTGTGTTTTTTCCTGAATTTCCTATTCTCTCTGTTTCATCATCCCGACCAACATGATTTATTCCAATAGGCATTTGGTTATTTAGTTGCTTTGAGTAGGGGTTTCCTCTACAACTGCATGAAAGGTTTGAACTGGATTTACTGTGGGGGCTTGCCTGAGGCCCCTCTGGTAGTTTCCCGAAGCTCAAGGCAAAGGATTACCCTGTCTGTCCCTTGTTGATCTACATTTGTTGGTCCAGTGTTTTCCCTTCCCACACCTTCTGCATACTCCAGAAGGAAGGGGCATTCTGTTGCCAGTGTTACTTGAAGAAACATTATTTCTAGGAATGACCTGTTTACAATCCCTTTTCAAATGTCCTTGCTTTCCACATCCAAAACATCTAACATTTCTCAAACCTTTTGAACTTGCTTCTCCCATATATCATCATGGTCATAAGACTCAACATTAACTGTGTCTCTAATCCAATCTCCCAAAGGTGCAGATCTTGCCTTTAACGGCCTGATTATTCTTTTGCATGCTGCATTTGCATTCTCAAAGGCCAAAGATTCAATTATTATCTGACTAACTTCTGAATTCAGGACCATTCTCTGTACTGCTGAAGTCAATCGTTGTAAGAAATCTGTGAATCTTTTTAAGAAATCTGTGAAAGATTCTTTTGGGCCCTGTATAACCTTTGTAAATGACTCAGTTTTTTTTTCCTGGTTCCTCAACTCTGTCTCATGCATTCAAGGCTGCCATTCGACATAAAACTAGGGTTTGGACATCATATAAACATTGTGTTTGTACTGAAGCATATTGGCCTTCTCCAATAAGCTGATCCTGGCAGACTTGTATTCCGTTATTCCTCCATTGTTTTTCTATATTTTTAGCCTCATTACTGAACCACATTTTCTACTGGAGATTTTGTCCGGGTTCAAGAACAGCTTGTGCCAGATCCCGCCAGTCCTTTGGTAGAATCCTATTACAAGTTGGTCAGTTGTTTAACATTTGCTTTACATATGGGGAATGCATGCCATAAGATGCTATTGCCTCCTTAAATCTTCGTAAGTCTAACATTTTAATTGGAATCCAAGTATTTTGTTCATTCTCTTCACCAGGTAGCTGCTGTATGGCTACCGGATAAATTAAGGGTGATTGTGTGAAAACTGGCTTTCTTTCTGTAACCTTATGATCCAATTTTGAAACAACTTCACTGTTAGTTTCTTCTGTCTGAATTTGAATTTCTCTATAATTCATTTTTACAGGTTTAACAGGTTTTTCTAAGACTGTTATCCTGGCACTTAAATTGACTATCTTTTTAAATAATAAAATGAGTCGGGCGGTGGTGGCGCACACCTTTAATCCCAGCACTCGGGAGGCAGAGCCAGGCGGATCTCTGTGAGTTCGAGGCCAGCCTGGACTACCAAGTGAGTCCCAGGAAAGGCGCAAAGCTACACAGAGAAACCCTGTCTCGAAAAACCAAAAAAAAAAAAAAATGAAGATAAGAAAAGTAATAAACTGAATAATTTGATCAATATTAATCTTCTCATATAGTTGTTCCATTGTCAGAGTGCCTAAAATTTCATACGAAGCCCAATTTTCTTCCAATGTACACATAAAGCCCATTTTTTTAATGTAGAAAAAAATTCTCTTTTAAATAGATATGTTAATTGACTTACCAAGTCTGTGTAGAACTGTAGAAATCCAAGGGAGTTTCAAAACAGCCACCTGGTGTTCGAGGTATGAATCCAGAGGTGGGGGGAGAGAGAGAGAGCAAGAAAGCGTAGTCGCTTGAGCCGAATCAAGCCTTGGCTTTACAGGCAGGGGCCCTGTTTGGCAGGCCAGGCCTGAGTTGTTTGTAGCAGTTGCAAGTACCTCCAGCTGCGGGTCAGTCAGACCTGGGCTCGAGCTAGGGAGCTGGTCCACCCAGGCTGGAAACCGGACCTGCTGCCAAGCTAAGCCAAGTGGTTTTTAATGGTTACTTGTCATGTTGGTCGCCAAATGTAGATGTAACCAACCGTCTTTTTAAATAATAAACATAGAACCAATGCAAAGAATAAAGCCAGGAGGTCAGAGCTAAGAGCTAAAACCTTACCCTTCCTCCTGAGGTGGTCCTACCTCTCCGAACTAGAGCTACTTTCTGTGTTAAAGTCCTTATATAGAATTTCTGTTCTGCCTTCTCATTGGTTTTAAACCCAACCACATGACCACCTCGTCACGGCCTGTCTGTATAGACCTCCAGGTTTTCCATGATTGGTATTGAGATTAAAGGCATATGTATCCAATACTGGCTGTATCCCTGAACACACAGAGACTTACCTAGCTCTGCCTACCAAGTGGTGGGATTACAAGCGTATGCCACCACTGTCCTGCTTTCCTATGGCTTGCTAATAGCTCTGACCCCAGGACAACTTTATTTATTGACATACAAATAACATTTTGATACAAATAAAATATCACCATAGATGCCAGCTACATTAATGTGGATGAGAGCTACGTTAATATGGATGAGAACTACATGTTGACTCAAACCTGAGTTATGCTTAATAAAGAAAGAGGGACTGACAGACATGGAAGACAGTCCCTAGAATTTCCACTGCTGTTTATAACAAAAAAGAAGAGGCTACAGTGCTAAACAGAGTATTCGCAACAGAAGATTCTCAAATGGCCTAAAGACATTTAAGGAATTGCTCAACATCCTTAGTCATCAGGGAAATGCAAAACAAAATGACTCTGAGATATAATCTTATACCTGTCAGAATGGTTAAGATAAAAAACACTGATGACACGTTATATTGGAGAGGATGTGCAACAAGGGGAACACTCCTCCACTATTGGTGGGAATGTAAACTTGTATAGCCACTTTGGAAATTAATATGGTAACTTCTCAGAAAATTGGGAATCAATCTACCTCAAGACCCTGTTCTACCACTCTTGGGCATATGTAAGAATTGGGCATTTCTAAGGATTGCTCAATCATACCATAAGGACATTTGCTCTACTATGTTCATAGCATTATTTTTAATAGCCAGAACCTGGAAACAACATAGATGCTGCTCAACTGCAGAATGGATGAAGGACATGTTGTACATATACACAATGGAGTACTACTCAGCAGCAGAAGAAAAATGATGTCATGAAGTTTGCAGGCAAATGGATGGAACTAGAAAATGTCCTGAGTGGGTTAACCCAGACACAGAAAGACATACATGGTATGTACTCACTCACGTGGATAGTAGATTTAAAGCAAAGGATACCGGGACTGCAAGCTACAGGTCCAGAGAAGCTAGTTAATAAGGAGGACTCTAAGATGGATGCATGGATCACCCTGGGAAGGGGAAATAGATGAGATCTCCTGAGTAAACTGGGGGCAAGGTGGGCAAAAGAGGGTAGGGGGTGGGGATGAGATAACAAGGGAATGGGATGGTCAAGCTGGAACAGAGATGGAGTAGGAGAGCAGTGAAAGATATCTTGATAGAGGGAGACATCATGGGGATATGGAGAAACCTGGTACTAGGGAAGTTTCTAGGAATCCACAAGGATGACCCCAGGTTAGACTACTAGCAATAGTGGAAAGAGTTGCTGAGCTGGCCTACCCTGGTAATCAGACTGGTGATTACCCTAACTGTCCTCATAGAGCCTTCATCAAGTAACTGATGGAAGCAGATGCAGATGTCCACAGCCAAGTACCAATCTGAGCTCCAGGAGTCTAGTCAAAGAGAGGGAAGAGGGATTCTATGAGCAAAGGGCATCAAGATTATGATTGGGAAGCCTACAGAGACAAGGGAACCAAGCTAGTGGGAACTCATGAACTTTAGACCAACAGCTGTGGTACTTGCATGGAACTAGACTAGGCCCTCTGCATAAATGAGACAGTTGTGTAGCTTGGTCCATTTCAGGGTACCCTGGCAGTGAGCTCAAACTCAATCCCTAGTGCATGAGCTGGCCTTGGAGCCCATTAGCTGTGGTTGGACACCTTGCACAGCCTTGATGGGGGAGGTGGGATTTGTACTTTCCTCAACTGAATGTACCAGGGTTTGCTGACTCCCTATTGGAGGCCCTACCTTTTCAGAAAAGGGGATGGGGTAGATTGGGGGGAGCTGGGGAGGGAAGTAAGAGGAGGGATTAGAGGATATCTGTGGTTGATATGTAAAATGAGTAGAAAATTTCTTAATGAAAAAAATTTTTTGTTTAAAGATGCAGTTTAGGAAAAGCCAAAATTAACCTTTTAAAACACAATTTTAGCCAGGTGGTGGTTGCACACACCTTTAATCCCAGCACTTGGGAGGCAGAAGCAGGCGGATCTCTGTGAGTTCGAGGCCAGCCTGGGCTACAGAGTGAGTTCCAGGAAAGGCACCAAAGCTACACAGAAAAACCCTTTCTCGAGAAAAAAAAATTAAATGAAATTTAAGTGGTAATCATATTCACTAACAAAGCATATACCATCACTCACTGTCAGGGAAATGAAAGCCAGAATCTGACCCTAATCACACTCAAGTAAGAAGGTCAACTCTTAAAAAAGCAAAAGTTAGCAAAATTTGGGGAACCTAGAGAGAAAAGGAAACTTACTTGAGAAAATGAATATATCACAAAATATATATTACAGAAAATACAGGATCTGAAACCATAAGTTTGCTTCTCTTACTTGAAGTTATAAACAGTCTCAGAAAAATTGTAGAAATTCGGAACTACTCAATACAAAACTAGTATTCATGGTCTTTATGCAGCATTTCCAATACCTATGGTTATTGAAAACATTTCTGTTCCATCTGCTATCATTGAGGTTGTTATTTCTGGTGAAGATTGAATTATTCCTGACAATGTCCTTTTTATTACATACATGGACAGGTACAGGCACACATGCAATAATCTTGAGTGCTGAAGTTGACTTCTGTAAAGAAGGCCAGTCACACCATTGATTGAGAAATAGTGGTCATTAAGCACATTACCCTTTCTTTTGGTACTTGTCCAAACCCTAGCAGTCATTCTCTCAGGCCATGGCAAAAAGCTCCCATAAATGCCAGGCCAAAGTATGGCATGCTTGACTCCAAAACTCTTCATGACCTCAGGGCTTGCATTGGTAATTATTTCTCCTGTCTTTGTGCCTTTTGCAGACTGTGCTTCTTTGACTGAACACAGAATGCTGACATGAGTCCTTTAGTCCACTACAGCTGTGTGCTTCTTATGCCCATTATGACACCAAAGACTTGGTAGGAGAAAAGAGGCAGCTTTTTTCCCAGGATGTGGGTTGGAGATGGCATGTTAGGGCTCCATTAATATACAGTTAAATGTTACCTGTGCATTCTATGGAGGGCAGATGTTTGGAACTGAGAATATATGTATAAACCTTTCACCAGTTGCAAATTATTCAAAACAATGATGAGATTTTAATTGTGGTCTTTACCCACAGTTTTCAGGAGGCCCTTGATTCTTTCTGATGCTGGGAGCAGGCAGAATCCCCTCGTGGGGGCAGAAATCCCTTAGGTCTGGTGCAGGAAGGACAACAGCAATACACAGGAGTTTCAGTGAGTCTATTTTTGTCTAAGTAACTTTCTCCTACAAGGTAATTTCTGCCTTCATCTCTGTTGAAGTTTGACATCACTTCAGGTATGAGCAGATAAGTGGGGGAACTTATTCAAGAGGGATTCTCAAAGTGATAAAGTAAGCAGAAGAAGTTAATAGGATAATTTATTCTGGAGAACACTGGACCTTGTAAACTCAGTGCTGATGACTAGTAGCTCTAACAGGTGTGATGTCCTTAGTAGGTCCTCATTCCTTAGCACAACTGACTATGTTGGAAGTATCTTTGAGGCTGTAAAACACAGTATACTTTCCCAGCCAAAACAGAACAAAGACCTAATTCATCAAACTACATATTTCTGGGAAAGTCTCTAAATGTACTGACTGCTTTTTAGATTTTGTAATTCTGCTTCTAGCTAACTGTTCTTATTAACTGATGTATGTCAACCCAGTACATGGTATTTGTGCTTAAAAGCTCACTCTGAGAAAGTCTAAACTACACTGGGATCTTGAACAGTCAGTATAGTCACTGGCCAGCTAACAACAACTTTCTATTGTTTTAAATCCATGTCTGAGTTGTCTTCTCTGGAGGATACCTTAAAACCTGTCCAAATCCATTAATGATTTTCAGTCTACACCATGGTTGCAGTGGTTCTTCTGTGGCATGATTGATGTCTTAATTAGAGTTTCTATTGCTGAGTTGAAACTCCATGAACAAAAATCGGATTTAAGAGCAAAGTGTTTATTTTACTTATATGTTCCTTATTGAAGGAAGTCAGGCAGTAGCTTAAACAGTACAGGTAACAGGAATCAGGAGCTGATGCAGAGGACATGGAGGGTGCTGCTTACTGGCTTGCTCCTCATGACTTGCTCAACCTGCTTCCTTATAGAACCTAGCACCACCACCTCATGAATGGCATCAACCAAAATGGACTATAAATTCCCCCATAAATCACTAATTTTAAAAGTCCCTTCAGGCTTGCCTATAGCCTGATCTTATGGGGGAATTTTTTTTTGATGACTCTACCCTGTGTCAAGTTGATATAAAAATATCCACTACAAGTGAATCATTGTCATCTTGACACATAAATGTCACTTTTTAATTAGAACCTTTCCTTTTTTATTTACCACCAAGATGTCATATTAATATTAACATCACAATATAAAACATTTGAAAGTATCACAGTCCTTACAAATTCAAAAACATCAAAACACCTGTCTCCTTTTTAAAAATCCGTAATTACTTTTAAGATTTCAGAGTCATTTAGCTGTGGGCTTTTTTAAAAATCAAACTTAAATCAAATACCTTCTCAAGGCCCAGTTCTCAATAGGGCACATTCACAATCTGAACAAATCAAAACCAAACTGCATCAGTATAAATAACTCAGTATCCAATGTCTAGGATTCACTCAAGAACTTCTGTGCTTCTCCAAGAGTCTTGCATCACTTCTCTGTCTCTGCCCTGGCGACACACACAGCTTGTCTTCTAAACTTCTTCAGTATCTACTCCAAGGCTGCTGAGATTCTTGGTAGTCATCCAGTATACTGGCATCTCCAAAGTGCTGGGTCTTCTGCTTAAACATGACTACAATTTCACAAATGGCCTGTCTTAGGATCTCTTCATGGTGGCAAGCTTCAACTTCTCTGCATACCCCCTTCAGTCATGGGTCTTTAACTGCTCTTGAGGCTACACCTTCACCAATGGCATCATCTGTCCTCTTATGGTGTCAAACCTCTGGTGATATCCATGACAACTTCATGATTTCAAACTCAGTACCACCTAGCTGACTCTTACACTATGAAATTGACTGCCATCACAAGGTACAACCTTGGCCATGTCTTTTACACAGGTTCTTTGTGCTGGCTTTCATGGAATACGTTACAGAAGATTTCATCTCAATGATTGTGGTCTCTTCATTGCCAGTGTATCAGTTCTAGCTGATGACCAGCAAGTATCCCAGTAAAGCAAATGTGTCACTTTAGTAGTTCAGATAACTTGTTAATCATAGTTGATTCTTTACTCCCAACTAACCATGACCACAGAATCTTAACTCAAAATAACAAATTACTCCAGTATAGTCTTTAAACCCCTCATTGTAAGTTCACAAAACTGACCTCCATCATACTCATTGCCCTCAACAATCTTATCATCATAGCTCTCAGAGAACATCTAACCAAGCTTTAATTTTGGCATTTCTATACCAAATTCCAAAATCCTTCCACAATCCTCCCCAAAATAATCTAGCTCTGTCATAGAACACCCCATTTTTTCTTCTTCCAACTTGTGTTAATTAGGGTTTCTGTTGCTGTAATGAAACTCAATGACCAAAAATCAAGTTTGGGAGAAAGCTTCTACTTTCATACCTCTTTTCATCATTGAAGGGAGTCGGTACAAGAATTCAAACATGACAGGTACCTGGAGTCAGGAGATGATACAGAGGCAAAGAAGGATGCTGCTTACTGAATTGCTCTTCATAGTTTGATATGCATGCTTCCATATAGAACCCAGGACTACCAGCCCTCAGATGGTACCACACATAATAGGCTGGGCACTCCCTCATAAATCACTAATTAGGAAAATGTCCATAAGCTTGCCTACATCTGAATATTATTTAGACATTTCATCAATTCATGCTTCCTCCTCTCTGATGTATCTACCTTGTATCAAGTTGACATAAAACTAACCAGTACATGGATAAAAGAACCACTTGGCCTTCCCTTACACTATCACCTAGAGTAACTAGAAGATGCTTAATTTAAATGCCAAATTATTCTACATATGTAATCCATGTCCTCATTTAAATCTTCCCAAAGTATAATTTCAGTTGTATTTTAAATAGATCTTTTGTCCTATATATTTGGTATCCCAGTAAGAAAAAGTTCACTGTATAAACACATGCATACATACATGTTGAAATATTTTAAAACACTGGTAGAAAACCAAACATGAAGACACATTGGAATCAAATATTGCAAGTATATGTTTCCATGTGAAGTTTCACTTAAATTCTGTTTTGAACTGAACTTAAAATTCAAGGCTTAATCATGTTCCTTACATGCATGGCCTTTTCTACTCAATGCAGCTTCAAATATAGTGCTCTACAACTTAATGTGAGTTTCTGACTTGGGTCTCACAAGCAAGCAAATAAAGCAAATGAATCTCAGACATTTGTAGCTACTGTTCTTCTAATCAACAAAATGTTCAAAGCTTTGAGAGGTATGCATATGAAGCAAAAGCTCACAGCTGTGGAAGAGGTTGAGACCCTCTGTCTCTACCTGTTCTATGGCTTGAATACAATATGCACCTGTATTTGAGTTAAGAAATTAGGAACCCACATTTTCTTTAGTGCTTCCCTGAGAAACAATATTTTGCTTGGGGCTAGATAAGTGATGCAGTGGTTAAGAACACTTATTGTTCTTGCCAAGAAACACAGTTAGATTCCCATTATACACATTGTAGCTCACAACCATCCATATATATACTTTCAGATAATGCAATGGTTTCTTCTGACCTCTGAGGGCACCAGTCAGACAGCAGAGTAAATTGACCTATTGGTATATCACATATAAAATTTCAAAATTCTTCCTAATTGTTTGTTTCTGCTATTCTCTACAGACACTTAAAAGAGATGGTCTTTATGTAGTCCCAGTTCAGTTAAAAATTAAAGCTGGGGGCTCGAGAGATGGCTCAGTGGTTAAGAACACTGACTGTTCTTCCAGAAGACCTGGGTTCAATTCCCAGCACCCACATGGCAGCTCACAACTGTCTGTAACTCCAGGATCTGACACCCTCACACAGACATACATGCAGGCAAAAACACCAGTCCATGTAAAATTAAAAAAATAAAAATAGTGTCTATTAAAATAAAAAAAATAAAGCTGGCTTTGGAGTTGGAGTGCAGCTCTCTCCTCTCAACTCAAACATGCTTGTTAAAAGAAAATGCGAAATCGTTGTATCATGTCAGAAGAGCCACCTGATAAGGGACAGAAGAAAAAACAAAATTAAGTGACTATTTTAGTACCACTAATCACATAATTATTTGGTTCTACTTTGATTCTTTAAAACTTTTTTAATGAATTTTGATATAAAATTCATACAATTAATACATATATATATATATTTTAAACTTTTGTCATGATATTATTGGTCATATAGAGTACTAACTACGTCTAGAGAAAAGCTGCCTGTACATGTTTTCCTGTTTGAGTCTCTATTGTTTTCTGCATGGAATCATGACTATGCCTAATAGCAAAATTGAAGGATGATATTAATACCACTAAGCTGACAAACAAGATCGGCTTTGGACTACAAATTGCTCAGGACAATTTTGAGATGGCTAGCTGAGATGATCCAGCCTCACAGACTATTCAAGCAAGGACTTGAGATAAGCTCTGCATTTTCCCATTATGCAGAGACTGGACAACAAATGATACAGCTGCCTCCCCCAGATTTGATAATTAACCCAATTTTTTTTCTTTTCAGGATCCCCTAAAGATTCCTTCACCTGTAGACAATAGTAATTTTAAGAACATGGTGCCCACATTCCCAACAGATGGGGTGGGTGGTTTTTGGTCATTCAATGGGTTTTGGATAATTGTCATTGTTTAGAATGATTGGTTATAAGTTGTTATTGTTAATGGTCAGGAAAAAGGCTAAACAAAGGAGATTAGATTTAAAGTTCTTGTTTGAAGAAAAAGAAAAAGAGGATTTAGATAAAAGGCAGATTATTGAATCTGCTCTGAAAAAAGATATAGAAATAATATATAAAGGGTAGATTATTGAATCTGCTTTGAAAAGAATAAATAAGGAATATGAATATATGATTAGATAAAAAAGTAGATTAAAAGGCAACTACTGATTTTAAATATTTTGCATTGGCTTAATTTTTGTATATTGTTTACAAATTATGTATATTGATACAAATTTGAGATTGATTTTGTTAGAAAATACTGTACATATATTTCTAATCTTGTTCAAGGTATTGTACCTATATAGTTCATTTAA